GAGAGAGAAGTGTCAGCCTCTTGGGGATGGGGTCCTGCGCTCCCCCACCATCTCAAATGCCATGGCCCTGGTCACTGCACCCCTGCACAGCATCCTAATCCCCTGCTCAGTGGGCAGAGGGGCACAGGGGGAGTCACTCACATAGTCATCGGTGGCGTCTTTGACAGCTGTGATGGTTAAGACAAGAACCAAAGGCACGATGGTGGTAAACCAGGAGAGCGAAGAGATCTGAGGGATCAGCTGGGGACAAGGAACAGGAATTACACAGGAACCAGCCAGCCTCAGGCCCATGTTGCCCTCGATCGAGGATGCCAAATCTCCCCAATTCCAAAATATGGGACTACTCGGAGCCCTCCTCTATGCCCAGTCAGGGAAGGACTGCACTCACCTGCAAGATGAGGAGGAAGAGGAAATAGGTATTGGCCACTTCCTGGAACTGCTCGAAGAGGTTGACAGGCAGGAAGGTGACAATGTTGTACTTGGAGGTCTTGATGCAGTTGCTCTGGGGACAGATAGGGCAAGAAGAGGATTTACAGGCTACCAAGGCCCCATTAACTCTCCAAGATGAGATTACTCTGGAGGGCAGGGGCTGTGGCTCACCACAGGAGCTGTGTGCTCTTCAGGGAGTCAGGCTCCTGCTCCTGTGCTACCTCTGGCAGCTTCCTTGGGAAGCCAATTCCTCAGTCTCAGTCACCAGCTGGTACCCTGGGACCAGCCTCCTCCAGCAACAGCACCTGGCCCCCAGAAGGGTGACCATAACCCAGATCCCCTTTTCCCTTCTCTGCAGGGAGCTCTGGAACAGCCAGGGATAACCTCCAAGGTGGGGAGAGGTAAAGTGAGCACTGCCCTCCCCTGGCACCTTCAGAAGCTGACCCATTATCCACACTGGGATGAGGGACCAGGCTGGGAACTGGGCAGAGCCAGAAGGTTCTGGGTCTTGGCCAAGGATGGGAGGCCTGAATCCTCCACAGAGAGTGCACTGTACCCGGCCAGCCCCACAGCTATATTGGCATTAATGTCAACAGCACCATTTTTTCAGGTATAAACATCTATTTTGTAGCCATAACACCTCCCCCCCACAGAGGCGTGGGTGATTCAGACCCCAGCCCCACAAACCTGCCCGAGGACCCCCGGTTCAGCCCCTCCTCACTCACTGCGTACTGGAACTTCTCGTTGTACTCCCGTGCATTGGCTCGCACTCGACGCTCTTCCTCTGCAACACAGCACCCTGTCAGCCCCGTGCACCCTGACACCCCCTACATCTGCAGCCAGACAGCCCCAGGACCTGAATCCTGACACCCCAATCTCCTCTCCATCCTGAGAGACAAGCTAGTCCCAGAATCCCAGAAGGCAGGGAACAGGGAGTCTTCTCAGCTGTGTCATGTGGCCCTGTGCTTTCCCATGCCAGGACCTGTACCTCTGCACACCTAGAACCCCATCCTTGCTTAACCATGCCTCCACCCACAGATTCTGCATCCCCCCAAGGCTGCACTGCTGGACCTCCAGCTCTACTCACCTCTATTCCCAGAGCCTCAGATTCTGGATCCCCCCATCTGGCTTATCTGCTCCCCCAGCACGGCACCAGGAGGTCACCAGACCCTTCCAGCCCTGCACCCTCAGATACTGCACCCCCAGATCACACCTCTGCTCCCTCAGCCCTGCTTTGCTGCATTCCTGGACCCGCAGTCCCGTAAAATCTGCACTCCCAGCCCCGCTCAGCTGCAGCCCAGCAGCCCCAGCTCTGCACCCCCCGGCCCCCATTTCTGCTCCCCCGCCGTGCCCATCCCGCACCCGCCGGGATCGCGGAGCCGCTGCCGCTTCTCGGACATCTCCCGGGGCACGGGCACGGCCCGAGCTGCCGCTGCCGGCCCGGCCGGGGCCCTGCCGCCCCGCCCCGCCGCGTTACTGAGGCAACGGCCGCACTGGGGCCCGACCGGGACCCACCCCGGCCTCACCCGGGCTCACCGCGGCCCCGCTTACCGGGGGCTCGGTGGGCCGCGCACCGCTCCATGTCCCGCGGCCCCGCAGCCCATGGGGAGCGGGCGGCCGGGCCGGGCCGGGCCGGGGCCGCTGCCTCTGCCGCCGCCTCAGCTCCCCATGGCCGCGGCGGCGCCGGTCGGCGGCGGAAGTGAGGTGGGGGGCGCGGGGAAGCGACGGAGCGCGGCCGCGGGGGGCGGCCCACACTGCGGCCCCGGCGGCGTCCGGGCCAGCGGGGCAGCTACAGGGGTCCGTGTGAGTCTTGGGGGACCAGAGACAGCCCCACAGATTGCCAGGGGGCAGTGCCGGGGGTCCCGGGGACAGAGCCGGATCCAGTGGGGCAATCCCCACAGTAAGGGCACCAGTCCCCCAGGCTGGGATACCCCTGCAGCCAGGCCTGGCTCGCCCTCCCCCCAGGGGCTGGGGACCACGGCCTCCAGCATATTCCTGAACCCCCATGTCCACAGATGAGACACACCGTGCCCTCAGGACTCTTTTAATGTTGTGACGGGGACTGTGGGGGAGACAGTGCTGCTGGCGTCTGGTAGTGGGGGATACCCAGCAGGCGCTGTCTCCCCAGCCTCCTTCTCCTTGGGCGATATAGCAATATCTTTGTCGATGCTGGTGTTGACTAGAACGATGGAGCCCTGCTCTGCCAAGATGTCGTTGTCCTCCTCCGGGTAGTGGAAAGCCACAAAGAGCTGGTACAGGTATGTGCCCATGGCAGCCCCCAGCAGCGGTGCTACCAGTGGTACCCACCACCATCCATTGCCCCTGCTGAGGATGGGACAGAGTGAGCTAGGGATCATCCCTGCCATCCCCACCTCATCCCCTTCCCTCGACCCACCTGAAAACCTCTGGGCCCCAACCTGCCACATAGGTGAAGAGCCGAGGCCCAATGTCCCGCGCAGGGTTCAGGGGGCAGCCACAGTTCGCCCCCATAGAGCACTCAATGGAGAGCACCAAGAGAGCCACAACCACTGGTTCCAGGCCCTTGGGGGCAGGCTTGTTGCGGCTGTCCATGATGCCCAGGACAACCACCAGCAGCACCCCTGTACCGATCACCTGTGAGGACAACACAGCAGCTCAGCATCATGGGGACTGAGGGGGCTGGGGGAGCTGACAGTGGCACCCACCTGATCCAAGAAGCCATTGGCAACAGAGACATTGTCAGCTGGGTAGGTGGCAAAGATGGAGGCAGTTTCTCGGGGGCCAGAGACAGTAAGGGTCCCATTGCTGTAGTGCCAGATGGCATCTGAGGGCAGAGGCAGAGCATGTCCATAAGCCTGGCCACCCCAGCATCACCGTGGGGTTCCCTTGCCCAACACTGCTCCCCCCATACCATAGTAGAGGATGTAAACAGCTCCAGCAGCTATGAAAGATGCCAAGGTCTGCACAACCACAAAGATGGGAAATTTCCACCAGGGAAACTGCTCAGTCAGGCACATGGCTAAGGAGAATGCCGGGTTCATGTGGGCCCCTGCAATAGAATAGGGAGAAGGGCTGGGAGTGGAGGGTCCTGGGGACTAGAGCCAAGGGATAGCAAGAGGTGGGATCCCTTAATCTGTCTCACCAGAGATTCCCCCCGCCACGTAGATGCCCGCCATGACAGCTATGGCGCTTCCCACATAAGCGGTGATGATGTTCCCCTTTGTCTCAAAGAAGGCAATCCTCTGTGCAGCAGTGCCCAGGGTGATGATCTGGAGAAGAGGGATGTAGCCCCACCTCAGCCCTGGTGGCCTTGTGCTGAGACCCTCCCACCACTGATACTGCAGGGCAGCAAGGTGAGGGCTATGCTGGTGCTGGCCCCCCTTGGTTTTGCTCCCCAATACTTGGATATCAGGGAGGTGGTTACTGCCTTCACTTGTGGTTTTGATGGCAAAGCAACCAAATTATAAGCAATTAGGTGAACTGCTTTCTGTGGGGAGGTGTTGGGGAAGAGGTGCCACAACATAGCCCCAGGGACACCATTTGTCATCGTAGGACGCAAATGCTAAGAACAGCACCAGAGCCCCAACCTTTGCCTGCTCTGAGACAAGCGGGATCGAGGCACACACTGCCCAGCACCACACCCTGATTGCACCAGAGCCATGGCATAGGTTCCCACATGCGGTGGGAACAGGGTCCAAGCAGGAGGACAGTGCTGAGTTGCACGTTTGAATACGGTGCAGCCCCAAACCACTCCAACCCCAAGGGGCAAGCAGCTTAGCCCTGGGACCCCTGGTGCCTGCCACCACCCCACTGTCAGCCCTGTCCCACCCCTATTACACCCTCCCCCCCAACCCCAGCCCACCTGCATGCCCGGCTTACTATGAGCACAAAGGTGGAGAGCAGCTCAGCCAGGCATTCCCGCACCAGCCGATTCCGGATGCGCAGCAGACTCCGGGCCCTTGTCAAGAAAGAAGTGCCCATAGTGCTGACTGGGCAGCGGCAGCAGTGGCAGCAGTGACAGCAGTGACAGCAGTGACAGCTGTGTATATGTCTCATTCGCAGCAGGTTTTATGAGCCTCAGAGCCAGGTGGGTGATAATGTGCAGACTTTAAACCAATCATGGCTGCACAAGGGAGACGCCTGACAGGGACCAGAGTCCTGTGTGGGGCCAGGGACACCTTGTGACAATGCTGCGCCCCAGTAGGGCCAGGCCAAGTGGGAGCACTCTGATCCCCAAGGGGCCGTGGGGAGCCAAGACCTCACTCAGGTGAGCAGGCACTGGTCTTTCCTGGCCAGAAACCCCCTTTATCCCTGCCACATCCCTGCCCAAGCCACAGCTGCAGTCAACACTAATAAAGAGGCCCTGGAAAGGCCTCTGGGCTGGGCCAGGCCCTCAAGAGTGGCCCCGGGGCATCATTAGCACAGCATCCGGCAGGGAAATAGGAGAGGGAGGTAAGAAGGGAGCAGTGCAGGGACAGGAGCCCAGCAACCACCTGCACCTCTGAGGCAGGCCCCCAGAGTCATCGCTGTAGACAGGGGAATCTGCCTCCAAATGCATGAGATTCCAGTCTGAAGGAGCATGAAAGGTCTCATTTAGCATAAATAGACTTTATTGCTCTGTACACACATACACTTGGCCCCCACAGGGGTCTCTAACTCTGCAGTGCTGCAGAAGGTGGGTAGCCTCCAGCTCAGGCACCACTTCCCAGCGAGATCTGACCCATCTACAACAAAAACAGGTGGTGAGAAGAGGCTGCTGCCCGCTGCCTGCTCTGACAGGCCCGGCAAGCCCAGGGTCCCCCCAGCCTGTACCTGTCACTCATATGAGCTGCTCAGTCAGGACTGGACACAGCTACCGGCTCGAGAACCAGCGTCGGAAGAAGCTGCCCAGCACAGATGAGGGGTCGCTCAGGTTGGCAGAACGAAGCTCATCTTGCTGTGGCCACGTGCCAGCGAACTGTGCCAGCTCCCCTGGGAGGGCAGGGAAAACTCCCTCAGTGGGGCCCCTGTCTACTCCTTGCATCCTTCCCAGACCCCCACTCACGGTCATCCATGTTGACCACCTCCTCCCGGTAGTCCTTCTTCTGCCCATCCTCCTTGGTGGTGGTGATGAAGGCCTGGTCCCCCCTCCGGCGCGTTACTGTTGTCTCCCGGCGGCCCTGGCTGTCCTGCACAGTGCGGCGCTCCTCCACTGCCTGTGCAGAATGTCGAGCCCTAAGAGACTCCCCAGCCACGGAGACGTTGTCCCCAGGTCTCCCACAGCCCTGCTGCACATGCAGGGACACTCACCCCATCAGGGAGAGTCACTTTGGTGACAGAGACACTCTGGAAGTAAGAGTGAGACTTGGGCTCGTTGGGTCTCAGGATGGTCCCCAGCCCCACGGAGGAGACCTGGGAGTCCAGGTCTGGGGGGAGATGTAAGATGGTGGCTGCATCATGGGGACATGCCCCAGAGGCTCTGGCAGTGCAGGTGGGTGGAGCAGAGAGGGCAAAGGCCCTCCAACCCCTGCTCCCAGCACCCACCTTGATCTTCCTTGAGACCAGGAGGAGCCCGATGAGCATCTTCCAGCTGCAAGACAAAGCCATATACCACTGATGCCAGTGACAGAAAGCAAAGCACGACACAGGGGCAACAGCACAGAGCTGGCTTGCGCTGTTGAGCCTGCGGGAGGCAGAGCCCAGACCCCTCGCCCACCCCTAGGAAGAGTCTCTGTGGCCGGGTCAGATCGCCGGCGCCCTCGGATCTCCCCGGGGCCGCGCTGGCAGGGGGACTCACCGGCTGCTTTAGCATCGAGTCCCTCAGCGGTCGCCTTGCACTGCCATCACCGGGGCCGGGCAGGGCGGGCTCTGGGCAGGAAAAGGGGGTCGGTCAGGCCGAGGGGCTCTGAGCGGCCCCAGGAGTCTCGCTCAGCCCTTCCCGTACCCACCGAAAGGCAGCTGGGGCTCAGCCCAGAACCCCCCTAAGGCGCCTAGGAGCTCGCCCATATCCCGGAATAGCTCCTCGAAGGCACCTCGGGACGAGCCAGGGCTGAATCCGAAGCCGAAGTCCTGGGGGGGCTGCGACATGGACGGGCCGCCATCCTCCTCCTCCTCCTCGTCGTCCCACGCGGCGCCGCCGAACAGCGGGTCCCGGGGTCTGCGGGACCGCGGCAATGAGACACCCGCACAGCCCGGGACAACCAGGCAGGGCCGCGGCCGTTGGGGGAACTGGGGGTTGAGACAGGGACAGAGTTTGTGCCGGCAGGGCCGCGGGACTCTGGGGACGGGCGGACCCCCAGTTACCTGCAGCGCCCCGGGAAGCCGAAGAAGCCACGGAACACGTCGTAGAAGCTCATGCCGCTCCGGGGCCCTCTCCCCCGTCCCCGCCGCCGCGCCTGGGTCGCGCTGCCGTGAAGCGCGGCGGCCGTAAAGCGCCGCCGGGTGTCGCGAGGCGCCTGGGCTGCGGGGCCCGTCCCGTGTCCTCCCCGGGGCCCGGCGGGGCCCCCGAGACCCGCACGGGCCGGTGCCCTCCCCGTCTGACCGCCCCAGGCACGGGGGCCCTTGCCCGGGGAGTGTGTGCCGGGTCCCCCCTCGCGCAGGCGGGTGCTGCCGGAACCAGCGGGGTACCGGTTCCTGTGCCCCCGTCTCAGCCCTGCCGCTCCTCCACCAGGCCCCCACTGCACAGGAGGGCTCCAACTTTGCTCCCCAAACCGCCAGCCCCTTACCTTGCAGCGAGGAGGCTGAGGGGGAGCACAGGATCAAGGGCCAGGCCCTGCTTCCTGCAGCACCAGGGCTCTCACTGCCGTCCCCTGCCCCTGTGGCCACCCTCCCATGCCCGTCCCGACAGCCTCACGGGGAGGAGAGGGCTGGAGAGAGCACCCCTCAACCTCCGACAGGAGGACCAGCAGAAATGAAGGGTGAGAGGAGAACAGTGGCGTTATCCCTGTGCTGGCATCCTGCTGCCCAGTGCTGCAGGTGGGAAAAGGAAAAATCCACAAGAGGGGACAAAAACACTAGGCAAGAAGCTGGGGAGGGGTGGGGGAAGCACTACCCCCACTGCCCAGGGCCGCCCACCCCCTGCACCAAAAATAGGGAATGAGGCTGAGAAGGTGGAAAAAATACACACATCACTTTGTGATCTTTATTCTCTTCAGTAAATCCCCGCTCGGGGCTGCAGCTGAAGGGATCAGGTGGAACTTAAAAATACAAGATCTGGACTGCATAGAAAAAAAACAAACAAAAACCCCCAAAAAACCAAAGCAAACAAAAAAACCCCCACAAAACAAAAGAGGAAAAAAAAGGAAAAAACAAAGAGAAAATTAAAAAATCCCCAACTCAAAAGCAGAAGATACTTACAGCTTGCAAGCAGGGCAGGACCTGCACTCTGGGCCCATGAGGATGGAGGGACGCAGATGGAGAACATAAAATACCAGGGGGGACCCCTCGGCGGGGTGGGGGAGAAATGAGAGAACTAGAGGACAGCATGGGGTTTTTGTTTTTATATACAAGACACATTTATCCATTAAATTTAGAACACAGTACAAAAAAAACACTTCAACTAATTAATCTTACAATGCTGCTCATATCAATTACTGGTCTTAATCCTAATAATAAGGGGGTTTGCTGTAGGCGACTCGCAGCTTCCACTCCTTTGGATCTGAGAGATTGTGGGGCAGCTGGATGGGAGAGGGGATAGAAAGGAGTAAAAACCAAAAAAGGCCCCTACGGCAAACGGTTCAGATCTGAATGCGGAGAGAGAGAAAAAAAAAAAGGAAAAAAAAAAAAAGAAAAAAATACAAATTCTATATTACATACAACAGGAAAGTGGCTGAAGACAGACAACGCAGAGGTGCCTGCGGCCTGCCCTGCGGGGCCCTGCCGGGTTAGGGGCCCAGGCGCTCTCCGCAGGGCTCTCTCCTCCCTGGGATCCTTCCTCATCGTCGGGGTCACTGAGATTCTCTTCCGGAAGCAAGTGGTGGCGAGGGGGCCCGGCCTCAGTTGGCACCCCAGCTGTAGCTGTTGTAGGCGGACTTGTTGGCCTGGGATTTCTGGGGGATGGAGCTGCCTTGGCTGCGCTGCCCGGAGCCGCTCTGCGGGAAAGGGCGGAAGGAGAAGCAGGTGGTGAGTGAAGGGAACCACCCCCAGCCTACTCCACAGGGCAACGCTGGCATGCCTCGGCCCCAGAAGACAGCCCTGGCCAGATGCTCGGGGTGACAGCTCCTCCTCAGCAGCCGCCGATCCACCTCAGCCCAGCTGAACTCCCTGCCACTGGGGCAGGGCCTGCCTCCAGCACCTCACAGCTCCACCATCCGTGCCCCAGCACCCTCCCTCGGCTCCACACCTTGCTCCAGAGCAACAGGGCTGGCTGCTGAGCAGCAAGGAGAGGGAAGATGGGGAAGGGTTGGTGTGGGTTGTGTCTGCACGCGGGTGTGTGTGTGCACATACTGACTGAGGGCCTCTCTCCTCACCTCACGGGGCCATGGGGTAGAAGGAAGGGGCTATGTGATCCTGGGGAGCCTTAGGGGCAGGGGCAGAGCCCAGGGCAAGTGCAATGCATTTTCAGAGAGTTCATTACCTGATCTTCCTGCTGGCGTTGGCAGCACAGTATCATCTGCAAATATGGAAGCTGTTGCAGTACCAGGATATGTAAAATAAAGGGACAAACTATGACAATAGAAATCCACGGTTAAACCTGAAAGCTCCTGCAGGATTGTGGCTATGGCGAGTAACCCCTTTGGTGGTGCTGACCTGCAGAGCTGCCCCTCTGAAGATGGGGAAGTCGGGGTGCCCCAGATGTGTCTGTGTGAGGGGGCACTACCTGGCCATATCTGGTGCAGCCTGGCAGCAGGGGGGTTGTGCTGAGTACCCACCCTAGCAGAGTGGGCCAGGGCCTTCCCAGGCCCACCCCAGGCCTTCCTTTTCACCTTATCCTCTTACTGGCCCTGTGTGTATGTGCAGGTGTGAGCATGTGCACGTCACTGCGTGTGTCTGCCGCAGAGCATGAGGGAGGGAGGCGGGAAGGGTGAGAGGAACCAGGGAAATAAAGGGGGAGCAAGAGCCCTAGGCAATACCCCAGCAAGAGGCTGAGGTGTCAGGGGCATTGCTTACCTGCCCATCCTGCTGCAGGTGGTGGTGGAGGATCTGCGAGTGAGGCTGCTGATGCGGGGTGAGGATGTGCATGAACGGGGTGGGGGGGTATGCTGCTGCTGTTGCAGGGTTGATGGGGCCGCCGCTGCCCAGCGCCGAAGGCAGGTTGAAGGAGGCTGCTGGGGTTCCAGTGTGAAATCCCTGCTTCTCGAAGGATTGCTAAGAAGGAGATGCCAACAGCAGAATAAGTGCTGGGAGCCTGGCTGGCAGTGTGCCACCCTCCCCATCTCTACACATCACAGGCCCAGAGTCAGCATGTGGTACAGAGAACAGATAAAATCTCTTCCTATGGCTCTTTCTGGGCTTGGAATTGTAAGCTGGGAAAGGTCAAGCATTTCCCTTCTCTCTGGCTGACTGATCCAAAGGGAAAGAGATCTCATTGCCCAGGGAGGCTGTCTCAGAGCTTGGCTTCTCCTCCCCAGCAATGCAGGAAGCACTCACAGACACTAACCTGAGTTTTGGAGTAGACAGAGCCCGAGATGTCTGGCACACCTGTATTACTGGATGTCACAGATACACCTGGGGAGAAGGGACAGGTAGGTGTTAGGCAGCAGCCAGTGGGTCAGCAGAAGTTGGTTGCTGCTAACACCAGCAGGACCTGGTGGAGAGCTCCAGTGGTCAGAGAAGATGTGCAGACAGACTGGCCCGGGCAGTCAGGCCCTGGCATCACCAAATGTAAAGCACCCATACAAATATAAGTTAGTTTGCTCTGGACACGCACTGTTTCAAAATGCCTCCATAAACCAGCTGAAGGGCTGGCTGCCACCCAGAGAAACACACAGAAAACTGCAGGTCTGAGGAGAGCTGGGGAACACAGAGAAATAAACCCACAGCACGTGGCACAGCAGCAAGAACTGCCCAAAAGCTCCTTGGGTGTAAAACAGGCAATTGCATGCAAAGGCAATTCAGTTGTGGGCTGGGATGGCTGGTGCAGTGACTGACTACACAAGCCCCATGGGATGTTAGCTGTCCATAAAAAAGGGTGGCACCTCAGCCATCGTTTAATGCCTGGAAAAAGTGCTGAAATTAAAGCAGTGTGAAGGACTCAGCACCAGGTGACCTGGTACAAAGCTAAAATACTTTTGCAAAGAGAAAATATTATCTTGAAGGGTTCTAATGCAGTGACAAAAGGAATTAAAAGACTGGAAGAGGGAGCTAAATGCAGCCCTGCATAGGTCAGCCAGACATCAACCAAGTACTGTGACAGGCAGCAGGTTCATGATCTCCCCATGATCTTTGAATCAAGGACACTTCCCTAGAAAGTGTCTGCCAAACACTGGTGGGAAGCAAGTCCAAATCCAGAACAACTGCTGGTCTGTTAATCACATACAGTCAGTTAAAAAACCAACAAACCAAACAATTCAGCATGTTAAGCTTCTGATAGTGGTCCAAGGGCCCAGACAGCTGACTGCAGGGCACAGAGGAGGATGTGACATGGTCTGTAACCTAGACCTGCTCCAGACCTGGATTCAGAACAATCCTGGGTCATTCCATGGATAATCAAACTACTTGGGAGCAGCACCTCTGGCATTTTTCTCTATTACTGCTGTAAGACAGCAGTCCCTATCACAGCCAGTGAGACTGGGAGCAAAGCCCTGCTGCTGTGGAAGGTGCTCTTGTGGGTCTCTTACCAGTGCTGTACCCATGAGAGCCATAGCCACTGGGCTGCTGGAAAGGGGTTGCTGATGCATTGACGCTGACATTCACACCATGCTGCTTGGAAGAGGTAGGAGCAACCTACAGAACAGAGAGAACTGAGTGAGAAGAGGCTTTGCTGTGCCAGCCTTCTGTCCAAATCCCACAGCTTGCCTCTGGGAGACTCACAGGGAACACGGCGGGCCCATACTGGAAGGTGCTGGGGAGCCCTGGTACCCCTGTGTAGTATGGCAGACTGGTGTAACTGTAGCCGGGAGGCAGCGCCGGGTTCAGGAACGTCTGCTGCGTGGTGTGGTGAGTCTGGGTCTGGCTCTGCTGAGGCTGTGCCAGAGTTGTTGCAGGAGCAGGGGAAGAGGCATCACCACGGCCAAATTTTGTTAAGTCACCTGAAATAAAGGAGGTAAGAGTGAAGAACAGATGCTAGATCCTGGCCCATTCCAACTCAGCCCAAAGGTGACCCAGTCTATTTTTAAACAGCAACTTCAATCACCTGCCCCCTCCCTCTCACCTCCTGCCAGTGCCAAGGACTGTGGCCTTCAGACCTTTGCACACTGATAAGGTGAAACTGTTAATTGCTCCTTGGCCCTAACAGGACTACAGAGGAAATGGGAAGCCACAGTAGCTAAACCCATCATCTGGCACTGGATAAATCCAGTAGCACAGCCTGATGCTAAAGCTGTCCCTCATTCCTCTCCATGCACCAGCAGCAGGACTGAACACAACCCAGATACTTGCCTGGGCTGTGCAGGGTTTGACTGCAGGGCTGGGGGAAGCTCCCCATGCTGATCTTGGCTCTTCATACAAACACTCTCCTATTTAGAACTCACATAGTGCCACGCTCTGAGCTTGGCATTTCAGCCTCAGCTGGGCAAAAGCACTTGCACACAAACCAGCTCCTGCCAAAGCTGAGAAGAAGTGGTGCTGGAAAAGGAGCAAACCTCCAAGTGCAACAATTCCTAAAGTATGTGAAAGCTCAGCATAGTCACTGCCCACTGTGGATTGGCAGTGCATTAACACACTTGCCAAGGTCAGCGAGAGGTCATACACCCACTGGGTGCTTGTGCTGAGTTTGATAGGTCCCAGATTTCTCATATGCTTTCTCCATGAGACCATCCCATAGGAAAAAAAAAGTAATTTCTCCATATTTTGTGTCTCTTTCTATTTTTACTCTCAGTGTTTGAGAAGCACTGCTCATCATCTGCCTAACAACCACCTGGAAAGCAGTCCCCCAGTGGTAGGCCTTGCAGAATATTTCAGCCCTTCCTCACTCCCTTTCCAATTGCCTCATTAACTCCTAACTTTGCCAATCTCTTCCCAGTATCAGGCCTTGACACAACCAGATGCTCAAAGGGAAGAAAAGAATTGAACCGTGAGAAGCATGCTCCAAACCAAAAGCAATGCAGGAGGCACAGTGCAGGTGCAGATGTAGCTCTGGTGGACAAAGACACAGGACACTAGTAGAAGCAGAACAAATCCTGATGGGATGAGAATCACAACAGTCTTTTTCCCTACCAGAGTATGGATTGCTGCTCAGGCTGCCATCTCTTCCAGTCAGTGGTGTGGTGGGTGTAGGGAATGGGATGCTGTAGTAATCCTGATGAATAAAAACAAAAGGAGAAGACATTTTATCAGATCTGTCCAAAGTGCAAAGCAGTATCTTTTGGGAGAGAGGAATTTCTATACTGTAGCTGCAAGATATGTCTGAGTACTGCAGTTCAACCAGCCACATCCAGGCTGATCGTGATCTACAGCAGCCCCAGGTTTTTGTAGCATGTACCATCCCCCTCATCTGGCTATTAGAAGAACCAGGTAAGGTCTACTGGTATGCAGTTCTTGAACTGCCTGGACTTCCTCTCCTCTTCACAAGAAAATGGACATGTTCTAACACGAAATAAAGCCCGTTCTCATCAGGTATTTAGTCACTGGCTCTGTTATGGAACAGAGGTGAATCTCTCTAACAGCCCTGCTGCTGTAACTCATGCTCCCTGGCTCTACAAGGAATACTGCTGTATGAGTAACTCATGCTGCAAACTCCACGTGAGCCAAGGAGCAACTGATTAACTCATCACTGCTGCTACAGAGGTGCATCCACTCAGCACCCTATTTTGCCAGCTCTTCAGGACTGCCCACAGCTGACCTGTCTCTACCCAAGCATGACATGTGGAAGTGGCATGTCCTTGTCATTCTGCAGTACTCACCAATGGAAATCTCGTCTGGAGCATTTGCAAGTCATCATATCCATACACCTGTGGCTAGAAAAAAAGCCAGAGATGACATTAGGGACAAGGACTACATAAGGACACCTAATTTTAGATTAAACGTTTAGATAAATGTGAGAGAAAGCCAGAAGTAGCTGGTGAGCAGCCACACGAGCCACCAGGTGCAGGCAGTCAGAGCCTCTACAGAGAGGCCAGAAGTTTCTCTGAGTTGCTCAAAGGAAAATGCTTCAGACCATAAGGCCACTCAATAGTTTTTCTCTGGAAATCATCCCAAAACTGAAATCTGTCCTCACCTTTAGGAGAGGGTGTGACACACACTCCTAGACTTTGTGGCCATTGCTACCCTTGCCCTGACTGTTTGCCCTTTGTCACATCACGTTTCTAACACAGCTCTGTGCTTCCAGCACTGTGCTCTGCCCTAGGACGCTTCAAAGGCTGGAGAGGCTGAAAAGAACAGGCATGTAGGCTCTGCTCCAGGGTGATCACAACACACGTTTACCCCATGGGCACACTGAAATAATGAAAAAAACCCATAGGTCCAAACTCTGCCTGTCCAAGGCAGCCCTGCTGGGTATGTCACAGTTTTTGGTTCCCCCATTATGCTATATCCCTCCCTGCTGCAGAGGGAGCTGGGAGGGGACCTGGTGGCACAACACTACTGCAAAGTTCCACTCACCGGGTAGGCATGTAGCAACCCTGGAGCCATGATGTATGGATTAGGCAACAACGGTGGGACTCCAGGAGGGAGATTGGGAGGGGCTTTTCCTGAATAAGGAAGAGAAAGGAAAAAGTTCCACAGTGAAGCAAACAGCAGAAGCTCACTCTCTTAGCCCTCACACCCTTCTCTGGTACAGCAGGACCCGGGAAAGTACCTGATGTGGTTGCAACGGAGCTGCGAGTTGAGGCCGTCACTGTGGAGTTGCTGCTGAGGCTGAGGCCCAGGCTGCTGACACTGCTGAGGCTGGATGAAACGCTGACAACTGGTGGGGCAGCTGACACCGTGCTGGAGGAGGTGGAGAAAGTACTAGCGGAAGAATGGAGGCTTGCTTCACTCTCCACACTTGTGTGCTGGGGAAGGAAGAGAAGAGAGTCAGGGGATCAGGCAGATGGAAGTGCACAGGTACCACAGGACACTCTCTACACAGATCATTATGCACCTCTGTCTGCATCTGGATGTTTCTGCAGTGAGCCTGGCTTCAGTCCAGAGTCCTGACAGCAGCCAATCCCTAATGCTTACAAACCTCTCTCAAGGTTACATCCCAACACATCTGTCTGATGAGCAGAGCAGGGCTTGACACCACATTTGCAGGAGGGTGATTTATTCTGCTGCAGAAGCTGATAACCAGGAACTGTACTGCAAGAGCTCCAGCAGCAGAGATATGTGGTTCCACTGCATCAGCTACCAGTTCGCTCTGACATGTGGCTGTGACTCTGCAGCACCTTCAAGGGCTACTACAGGCTCAGAAGAAGGTGCTGCTCAGTCAGAAACAGGCAGGGTGTCAACAGCCTTGAGCCACAGGTGCATAGACAGTGCTATGACATAACCCCCATCATCTCTCTCCACACAGCATTTGAACTGCAGCAGGCCAGCCAGCAGCCTGGCAGATCCTGTCACAGGGTCAGGCACCCCAGCAGACCCCAGCAAGCTGAGCAGGTCTGGGGTACACAGTGTGAGAGCACACCCAGACTCACCAGAAGAGTTGAAGTTGATGTTCGCCCAGACAGACTGTTCTGCTGGGTGGGTAATGCACTGATGGAAGAGAAATAAAACACTGTCAGACTGTAGCGGTTTGTAAAGTTTTCCTGAAATTTTTACCTGCTGAGACTTGGGCAGTCTCCCTTGTATCTGACCAAACAGTGTTGGGTTTTTAAGACTGACACATTGTTACACCAATGAGAAAGTTTATGCATCTTTGTGAAACACATATGTAAATACAAAACACCCTGGGAAAGTTCTCTTTCATTTCTGATCTCTCAGAAGGTAACTAGCCTAGCTGGGGCCAAGCTGAGCCGAGTTTCTCCCCTGGATGGAATGCAGCCAAAAAAACTCATCACCGCTTTCTGGCTGGGCCCTTACAATCCTAGCCCAGCCCAGTGCGGCCTTGAAAGACTGTATCATAAAATAACTCCCAGTCTCCTCAAGGTATTAACTCTTTCAATGCCCAGAATAAAACGTGGCAAATACTTTGTTCTCTCTCCTGAGTGAAAGAAGAGAACCAAGATGGTGATACGCACAGATACAACAAAAACACAGAAGTCAGGCAGAAGAAAGAGTCAGGTTCCAGATGAGATAAAAATTTTAGTCCATGACTTTGTTCTTCTTTTATTATGCTATAAAAAAGAAACTCTTAATTGCCTATAACACATAAAAATATTATAGGGTAGATATGACTGATCTAAATGTAAATATAAGCAGAGGCATTAGTGTTAAAGTAAGCAGATGGTGAAATTACTGTGATCCCCTAAGTTTAAAAAGTAAGAAGACTCCTGCTGTTCCCCAAGAAAAAAGAAGAGAAAAAGCCTCTCAAAAATAGAGTAAGCTTTTGTTTGAATTGATATAATCCTTAAAGTGTGCCTCATAAGTTGATACAGTCCTCAATAATGTTACAGGAAAAACTGTTAGTCTGAATAAAGAATTTTTGCATAATAATGGTCAGATTTCCATTCTCCCAGGTAGCTGATCACTGTGACATCAAAGACACAAGAAAACAGTTTCTTGTGGAAAAATCTCCATAGATTAAAGAGAGAAGTCTCCTCTTTCAAGTGAATTAGTCAAAGACTATTTTAGAAATAGTAAACTGACTGAGGTTTTTTTTGTACGTTTTCAGTGTGAAAGAAAAGAAGTGTGCAGGGGGAGGAAAAGCAGTCTAAAGTTTTATTCTGAATTTTTTTTCTTATAGTTTCTAGTAATAACGTTTCTCTTTGTACCATTTAAAGTTAAGCCTGTATTGCCTTCCTCCTAATCCTATCTCACAGCAAGAAAATTCCAAATTCTTGAACCAAAACCACGACACAGACCAAGATGAGAGAGTCAACATTGGTAGCACCATCCCATTTCCCACCTGCTTGAATGGGATGAGTCATCTTAGCCTTCCTCATTGCATGAGACAGACTCTGATGTCTGCTACAGATTCCTGCTTCTAGTTTTGCTTCTTCAGAAATCTACCCCTTCCACTCACTCACCTGCTGAGCTGGGCAGTGGTTGTACTGGGGAGCTCCTCGCTGTGGCTCAGGCTGCTCAGAGCTGTTGAGTGTTGGCTGGCTGTTGTCAGCAGGGACGATGCAGACACCCCATCGTTGAGAGGTGCAATACTGGGAGCAGAGGGGGAGTCGGATTTCACTGCAGGGCCTGTAGCACCTGAGAACAAAAGCTTCTGGTTAAGGGCAGGTACTGGCAACTTCCAGAGGGCAACACAAGGGCAAGGATCAGCAAATGCTCAGCAAGAGGAGTTGAGAGATTTGGGGCTTCCCTCAGTGCTGCCAAACAGTTATATACTTATGATTGTGTTCTACATCTCACTTTACCCCAATACTACCATTGGCTCTTCAAAAGAGCTTCAGGACCTACAGATGAAGTGCCTTCCACACACAAAGCAGAGTAAATTACTTTCATAGGTGACCCTTCAAGGATCTCAAAGATCAGCAGAAAGCTGATTGCTTTGAGGTAAGCGAATAATCTGAATGGCAGCAATCAGTTGAGCAAGGAAAGGAATTGCTATGAGCACAGATAAAGCTTCTCATTCAAAGCAGAGAGCACGAAAACAACAGATGCAGGACACCTGCTGTACTGGCAAGACTCTTACCTTCAACAGCCTGTGTGGTTTGTAATGGCGTGGGTTGTACAGAACTGAAACCATTCTGAGGAAGAAGAGAAAAAAGGAGTACTGGGCATTATAACAGCACATTTCCAGAGCAGAGCTAGGATCACCTCCCTCCCACACTCCCTTGTGCAGTTACAAAAAGGTCCTGCTACTAGCATTTGCCACCAGACTGTGTTTGGGCCAGTCCAAGGTCTAGCCCTATGCCAGCATGGTCCCCAAGTACATATTAGAGAAATCAGTGCAAGAAGTTTCTCTGCTGCTGGTAGTTAGACTGCCTCAACATTCTCAATCCAAGTTCATCAGCCAAACCTGTTGTTCTTGACTTGGTGTGCAGCATACAAGAACCAAATCCATAACACAAAACAAAATTCTTTGTCTGCACGCCACTCTCTATCAGGGTAACTGGGCAGGACACAGCACATGCCCTGCCATCAACTTGACTGTTGTTAACCCCAGTGGCTCAGGCACAAAACACAGCAGCCAGAAGAAAGTTCTTGATTAGAGCCCACGAGCCACACAGTGAGGCTGGAGGATCTCAGAACCACTTGATAAGCCACTCAGCTTTCCCTGAGACACTTCACACATGAGGCTCACTCAGCACAAAAGGTGAGCAAAGCTGCTCTCTTACCTTAGCCTGGGTCAGATCTTTCTGGGGCGAGGAAGAGATAGAATTTGGGTATCGCCTCGTCTGGGTGGATCTCTGTTCATACAGTGGTCCCTGAGCACTGTTCTGGGAGGTAAATGTTGCTGTCTGTATTGTGCCACTCTGGTAACCAGACTCCTGGCTTTGATTGGACGAAATTGTGGATGAAGATTCACTACAAAAGGAAAAAAAATAAAAGCATTCCTCCATTTTCCTCCAAAACAGCCCTGCTGTAAGCTGCTGACCCAGACTGGGCTCTTCACTTCAAATACTCATGATAAAAAGCCCCAAGCATCAGTACAAAGGCACTACACGAAGCAGCCAGGCCAAGAAACATGCCCAGAGAGTAGGGCCAGCCCAACCACGGACATCCAGCTGCAGCCTTGCCTCACATACTGCTGTGCCTTAGGCAACACTTCATGAGCTGCCACCACTCAAGGTGCCAGTACTCAATGGGCTGGCCTGTTACTAAGGGTCAGCCCAACTGAAGACAAATGCACCATCAGCATAGATACTCCTACCCTACTGTGTCCCAGTTTGCCAGGCAAAAAGAACAAAGCATTCAGAATCTGTTCACCAGAGACATGGAGCAGTTGTGCTGGGGATTCCCCTCCTGTGTTTTCAACAACACAGCTTAAGGGCAGCAGGAAAACTGCTTTCTGTGCAAGTACCACAGGCCAAAGAGCCACAGAGGTGCCCATTGAGTCTGCTAGCAACTTGTGCTTTACTGTTGCATACATTGTCCCCCCTTTATGACCACAGCACAGTCAGAAAGGGTCTACTGGTATGCATGACAACTCAAGTCCACAGGACCAGCAAACTCCCAGAGCTGCCTGCTTGCATTACCAGGCTCTGGTCCTCACCTGGCCGAGCTGGTGTAGAGGCTGCTCTGAGACTGGCTAACAGCGGCGCTGGTTGTGGGCGTTGATTCGTACTCAGCAAGAACAGGCTCTGAACCAAACTGTAACGCCCCAAACTGCAGGTTTAGCCCTGAGATATCCGACGAGCCAGGCATTTCCACTGCAAGTGCAGGAATCTGCAAGGGAGGAACAACAAAACGGCTCAATTATTCCTGGTGAATCATTAGCCCAGAGAATGACTTTAATACCCACATTTCCCAGCACACAATGGCAGTTACAGGCTTGCAGCCCCTGAATTACACCATTCAACCCGTGCAGGCACACAGCTCCATCACCCCCACAAACACTCAGTGCTAACAGCAGGAAGGCCAAGCCCAGACCTTCCCCCAGCGGCCCAAATGGCTGTTTCTGCAGCTCTAACACAACTCAATGCCTCCCTCCCCTGGTCTGCACCTTTGATGTTAACGATGCTTTTTTCTTTTGCTGCTTGAGCTTCTGCTGTGCTGGCTGGGGACTTGAGGACTGGTTGTCCGAGGACCCTGGGGACATCTGGGGAACTGGATTGGTTTTGCTGGGCAGTGGTGAGGATGGGGGTGCCGGTGTGGTTGTGGAAGCAGTCACCACAGGCTGTTTCTCCTGCATGAACACTTCTATCATGGTTGAAGTTGATGTGAAGCCCTGACGCTTGGTGAAGGGACTATGCACGGAAGAGTCTGTTGGGTTCTTGAGATCTATGGGACAAGACAGAGGTGAGTTAGCAGGGTTTGTTTCCTTTAAAAGAAATCAAATTCTGACACTTATCAAGAAAAATGTGTGTTTCATCTTGAAGCCTGTTAGAGAGCAGAGAACTTAAGCATCTCTGCTCCCAGCCTCACCCTCTCACCACCATCAATGACAAGCCTTTTTTAAGCTCTTCTTCCCTCAGTTGCTTCCACCATCCCTGCAGGACAAAGCCAGCTTGTGTGGCAGAAGTCCTCCATTCTCCAAGAAAAGCTGGACTCCAAAGTCCCCCTCATGGAGACATTGCATGTCAGAATCCTGCAGGCCACTTCCCTCTCATCTCTGTTAACACTCCCGCTTTCCATTGTCTCCTCCTTCCCCTGCAGGGACCAGGTATCTCCAAGCAACATCACTGCTTGGAGCTGCCTACCCTCAGGTCTTTGCATCACCTTCCTCCTCTAATAAGCCTTTCTACAGTTTATTCAAAATTAACTCCTATTCTCTGTGACTCTCTTCTGAGGCTTCTTGTCTGAGAAGACCAGAAGCTGCCAACACTGACTGTCACTAGGACAGGGCTCAATTTTTTTTCAGCTTCGATTTGAACCAGAGCCATTTCCCTATAACAAGCACAAGCTGAAGGAAATTACACTAGCACTCAACCACAGCAAAACTCAGCTTCTCATCTGAAGAGCGTCTCAATCCCTGTTTATTCCCTCATGCCAGCCCAGAGACAGTTACTTCTTGACATTTAAGAGCAAATCCCCTTAAAAAAAAATAATAGGAGTTCAGCAGGGAGAGGAGACTGACAAGAGTTTGCATTTGGGAGCTGTTCTCCAGAGGTGCCCTTTCAGACTTGTTTCTGGCACAGCTTTATACTGGTAAGTAGTTCTGCACACTCTGAGAGGCTCAGGAATGCCAGATTCCTGGCCCTGAAACTGTCTGGAATGACAGATTCAACTGTCCCAAGTAAAAAAGGAACACGGAGAGACTCAACACACACACTATTACATTTTAGTCTCACCCACAGCTCTCTCAATTTTTTTCAGCTCAGCTAGATTGATTGTGAATTTGTGAACAGATCTTGTGCTGAATCCCTCCCACTGCTGCTCACAGCATGCCTCTGCAGGTCTGGGGAAACGTTCCCTCCCATGTGGGGAGCCACGCCGCTTTTCCTTACCGTACTGCACCAGAGACGAGGTCTGTGTGCTGGATCCCATGTCCCAGGAAGCAGCAGTGGTGCTCCCAGCAGGCTGGGTGTGCTGAGCTGCCAGCTGAGCCAGTGCCTGGGCTGTCTTGAACTGCTCCAGGAACTGTGACCCTGTAGTACTGCTGCCTTTGGCCTCCCCGACATCTCCAAAGCCTTTCCCCAACATGCTCACCTGCAATTTCAGCAAGGAGATCAAGTCAATGTCTCCCACGGCTTGGAACTTGGCTCAGAGGACAGATACATCTCTGAACACAAGCCCAAATGCACTGTACCCTGCTGCTTCTCACTGGGTAGCCCAGCTCAACACTCTTGAGCTCCCAACACACACACTGCTGGCAGGTAGGGCTCATGTTTCTTTCCCAGCCCCCATCGTGTGTGAACACAGCTATGCTCATCTCTTGCCCAATCCATGCCATGGTAGTGTCACAGAGGGTTACATAGGAAGTTGACAGGATCTTAAAAAATATACTAAATTATTCTCATGCATTCAGTTGCACTAAAAGAGAAACACCAGATCTTGGCTTTGCAGTTAACATGGTTTTGAAAAAGCTTTCAACTATCTTACCATTAAGCAAACAATTTTTATTTCTTTTTGCTAAAGTTACACAAAGCAGCATCTGCCCAGGTCTATGCACATCCCTGACTGACTCAATGTCTCCTTCCTTCTCCTGTCAGTGGATGCTAGTGTTCCATCCCACCCAGTTCCCTTTGTCTCAAATTGTTGGAATTGCAAGCCCTGGACCAAAAGAGCTTTTCCTTTCCTTTAAGCAGGAATTAAGCATGTGTTGTAAAACTGACAAGGGCAGCAGGGGAGGAATTGAAACAATTATTTCAAACTAAGCAATGAACTTCAGGCCACTGCTTTTAAAGCAGACTAGCAAATTATTTGGCTCTACCAGCCCCAAGGAGTGAGCATATGGACTGCATTTCCTGTATTACCCAAACAGACAGAACAACAGGGGAGAAGCAACCTCAGCCAAACACCCACTGGCAGAGACCAGCATTTCCTTACCATGCTGTGGTGAGAGAAGGAGTTTCCAGAGGCAGGTTGGGACAAAGCACTCTGCTTAGAATTGCTGAACACCAGTGGCTGCGCCAAGGAAGGAGTCTGGGATGACTCCAGGTTTGTTGACTCATTTTCCATAGAAGAGGGTGTCTTTCCTAGCAGGACTGCAAGATCAATTCTGGGTAGACAAAGACCCACTGAGGTTACCAGAAGCTCCTGCTTCCATTAGAACAGTGTTCCCCCTCCAGCCTCACAGCTTTTACTTTACAAATTGAAGGAATTTGCAGAATATTAACTTACAATTGCCAGTAACAACCTCAAAAAGACAGACTGACCAAGCAAGACCCTGCACTGTCTTTGATTTTAAATCACACTTTACATTAATTTAACACAGCAAAATGCCCCCAAACCTGAAGAACCAGCAACATATCCTAGGAAAATTCGAACCCAGGATTAGAACCCAAAAACTTCTAAGGCCACTCTTCCATTTAAATCCACCCCATCTCATTCAGAGCTGCTGCATTTTAGCTAGCTAGTAAGGTTTAGTTGAAGACGGCAAATTGCTCTGAGACTCATGTGGTGCTACCTTTCCCAGGTAAACAGCATCACCATGGGCTCTCACCTTTGTCCAGCTGTGATTGTCACATTCTCAGCAGGCAGAGGCACTGAAGACACATTGGAGGCTGTGAAGATCTTTGTCTCTGACAGCTGAAAGATAAAAAAGGAAAACAGAATACAAAAGTGAGAACAGCACCTCGTAACAGTCCCAATGACACAAAGCACATGAATGTTTGAGACAAACAGCCACAGAAAAACTCAAGAAATTCAAGTGCTTCGACTGAAACTTCTCTAGCATTTGGCTCCCATCAGAATCAGCTTCTATTTCATTTGTTTCTTCTCAGGCAAGAGCATGAATCACCTGCCAGTGGAAAAAAACACCCTCAAATCCTTCTACAAATTTCTCATAGTCCACAAATCCCCTAGGGCTGCTCTAGGACCTTGGGCTGTTGCTCTGAGTCAATGGCAAGCAGCACAGACCTGCAAAAGCCATTGCACAGGTAGGTACAAGTGCTGGTAGTGAAGTCAAAGAGAAACTCTGGATCCATAGCTAAGCTTCCAATGATCTGGGCTCATTTGGATGATCTGACCAACATGGAAGGGAAAATAACGTTGCTGAAAAACTGGTGGAGGGCTAGTGATGACCTGTGAAATCTGAAACATATCTGAACATGAACAGCTTCTATTCCAGACTGAGGAGCTGCTAACAACTGAACTGCCAGAATTTTAAAAATAAATCCAGAACTTCTGGGAGCATCTCACACAGAAGGTAAGAAAGGCTCTCAGAAACTCCCTTCTAGCAGAGATCTGAATGAAAAAAAGAAAAGCTGCTCCTATCTCCAAACACAGCAGTAGTGCTTCCCCCAGGTGGTGCCTAGAAAACAAATGCTTCCCATGCTTGCCCATTCTGTTGGCTGAGCCAAAATGAACACGCAAAACTAACAACCATACTAAAATGCCCAACCCTGCTCCCATCTGAAAGAACAGAAGTCCTTCCTTGATTTGGAGAGGGACTGAAGCCCCTTTCAGAAGAAACTTATAGATAGGCATTAGCAGAAGATGCTAACAATATCCATTCTTTCCTAAAGGAGACATCAGGTAGAGAACATAAGGTGGTGCATGTCAGAAAGTAACGTCAAGAGTTTCTTTTCCATCGAACTCACAAGGACCAGCAGAGGCACATGATGTGCATGAAACCATGAAACTGCTGCTGGGGTGAGCAAAGGCAAACCTTCCCCAACTACCACTCCACCAGAGGAGTGGAGCAAGAGACCTGTGTGGAGTCAGGCCAGTTTTTGTAAGAATTCCATCTTGCAGTTACAGGAAATGAGAGGACCAGCCTTAATGCCCCAGGAGACCTCTTCCTGTCCTGGGCTTCTATGACAAGCTATATAACACATATCCTGCAGAAGATGCAACAATTACTTATTCATCACAGCTCCCGGGGCTGGGAGCCTGCCTGAGATTCTGTCCACAGTTGGGGGAGAATGGACTTTGAGCTCCCCTGGCAGCTCTGTGTGTACAGACAGGACAGTAGCCTGATGGCAAATGCACAGAGGATGGGTTCAGAAAATACCTACATCTTCATTCCAGTCCTCCGTGCCCCATTCTTCTGTCGCTGCCCTCCATGCACCTATAAGGACAACAACAGGTACAGAAGTTATGCATGCATCAAAGCTCTACCTCCAACAGCTGGGGGAGCACTGGGGAGCTTTGCAGGCAGCCAGGAGGATTTCTATTTGCCAATCAGACAAGTTAAAGCAGTCAATATCAACCCACACTTTATGGTCAAGGCACCGTGATGGGATCACCTCTGCCTTGGTGGCACAGGCTGGGATGAAAAAAGAGGGACTGCCAGGTTGGCAGATGGGGCAGTGCACACCCTCCCAACACCCAAAAGGGGAGCTGAGCTCTACAACGAAGCTCCAACATCATCCCCAGCCTCCTTGTGCCATTTTCCTGGCTCTCCCTTGTTCTGCAGTAGCTGTAGGTTTGTGCACCTGCAAGCAGCCAGTGTTACCCCAGCAGCTCGGACAGAGCACCTCTCTCATGGGCTTCCTGCCAGCTCTGGAACAGGATCTCACCATCCAGGTAAACCTCAAGTTTCTATAAAACTTAAGGATAACTGAGCCATTGCCATGATTCATCTTCCACCCCACCAAAAAAAAAAAAAAGTCTTGAAACCTCAGTGCTCTAGAACCTGCTGCGCTCAGGCAAATGGGATTCACAAAAGAAAATTTATGGGACTAAGCAATTCCTGCATTTTCTGTGGCCGGTTTCAGAGATATGCTCAAAGTGTGCAGCTTGAAGTACCAGGGAGAAAAGCAGGAAACCTCAGCTGCAATCCAACACAGTACAATTTAGACAAGCAAAAATTTACCAGAAAATAAGGGATTTGCCTGGCTGCCTTTTCAACTTGTTCCAATCCTCACTTCCATCACAGTTTAATCTCTGTACTTTGAATATTATGTAGCAGTTACAGACTCTATTTAACAACTAAAATTTGGTTCGGGAAGAGAGCAAGAGCTTTCACATCCCCAAAAACTTCAGAGCGTAAAGCCAGTCCCATTTTGTCCAGCTTGTCTTCAGTCCACACAAATCAGATCAAGAAAATCTGAGAGCACCAACAGGGTTAATCCTGAAGACACCTACTGGATGGAACAAGTTGGTATCAGCCCTTTTACAGCATAAATCAAAGCATGTAGGGAAGGAGAACATTCTGAGATCTTCTGCAGGACACAGATCTCCCCATATAGACTTCACTTGTATATTTAAACAACCACTTGTCTACACTTGAGGGATCTAGTGCATGAAATAAGTATCAGTGAATTATGCTTTTTTCATTGCTTTTTTGTCTTGCTTGATGAGTTGAGCCAATTCAAGAAGTCTCCTAGGATTTACTTTTTTATATATTCGAGTTTGAAATACAGGTATTAATACAACACTTGCCAGAGTGCCAGGAGTCTTAAGGCACACTACCCCTTCCTCCACAGCCAGAACCATCAAAACATTCAATGCAAAACACATATGCAGTTTAGAAACCTAAATTCCCACAATCCTTAGATTTTTGGTGCCCTCACAGCAGCAGCAGGAAGGCTACTTCCCAAATTTTCATGGATCTGAACGATCATTCTAGCCCAAGCCTTACCCAAGAGGTGAAGTGGGAACTGGATGTACCTGCAGCTGGCCCAGAGAGCAGGAAGACAGAGTGAGTTGCCCCAAGAAGAGTTTGTGCATGCAGGAACATAGCATTTAAGAGCATGGGCTCTTAAATCTTGTTTGTTTGGGGAAAATAAGGAGAAAAGAAAAGCAGCACTAAAAGCAAAAGGAAACCCTGCAGATGAAGAAGAGCCATTGACAGGGCTTTCCCAACAAGTCTATTCCTGAAATACCAGACACTGACTCAGCATGGCTCCAGCTCCCCACACACAAAGGGGCAGATGGAGAATCAAAGACCTGTGATGTATAACTGGGTATTCAGCAGGAACACTCCAGAAAGCTCCCAGCTAGCACAGCATAGGAAGGTTTCTTAAAGAAACCAACTGTATCACTCTCCATCAAGCTCTACTGAAGGGGAGAGCTGTAATACAAGCAGTACCCTGAGCCTTCTAGCACCATTTCAGAAGGGTGGTCTTCTGAACAGCAAGCCTTCCTCTCTGCTTTCAGAAAACCCGTCAAAAAGCTGCTGGCCTTTAAGCTTCTCAAACCAAGAAAAAGAGGGAAAATTAAAATTTAGCCAACAACATGTGCAAATATGAATGTGGTGAAGGCAAAAAAAAAAAAAAAATCTTATTGTGTCCCCAAGTTTTTCAAATCCCTCCCAAAATACACTCTCTCTTCATTTTAAACTGGGAGATAATTACCCAACTTGCTCCTCCCACAGCCAGCAGACAGCCTGCTGCCTCTCAAAGACTGGATCCCTGGCACCCTGCACTAGGAAGGCAACAGACCCAAAGGCCCCCTGCTCTGCACCTCGAAGGAATGTTAATCCAAACAAAGCCAAAGGGCAGCAAAATCACAATGGCAGTGCTGGAGCAGATGGCCCTGTGTTGCCTGTGGAAGTTAAAAATTAACCCTGAGGTGAGAACCAGGAAATGCTCCAACACAGCAGAAGCACTCCATGTATGTCTGCCTGCTTTTGGGCCCTTGCACAAGACACTCCTCAGTCTCAACACTTCTCCTCCTGCCCTGACCTTCAAGAGTCAAGTGGCAAGTTCTTCTGGAAGGTCCCTTAGCCTCAATTTCAAAACCTCAGGTTAGATGGAAGAGACAGTCAAACAGGATGTTGGCCTTATTATGGACACCAACAGAATTCTACAGAGACAAGGTAAACTGCATCATCTCATGGACATCTCTTGGCCTCATAAGGAAAACAGGATAAGAGCAGGAAATAAAGTAGCCAGGCACAGAGCAGCTTTGCCAAGCATCCCTGTCATCTCAAAATCCATCATCATCTTCAACTGCAGGGAAATGAAGAGGAGCAGCCAGGCAGCCTGAGCATGCTGGAGCAGCCATGGGCACTGCCCACCCAGCAGCAGCCATAAGGAGAGGCAAAGCAAAGAGAGCTCAGCCAGACCAGCTGCCCTTGCAGCAGTGGTGTGACCCTAAGCAGGAACAGCAGGAATGGCACAGGGACAACAGCAAGTCACAGCTTTTGGGTTGTGAGACAAAGGGAATGTGACTGAGCTGCCTCACACTTCCTGCCCTCGGGTGGGATGCTCTGTCACCAGTGCTGTGGACACAGAGCTACTTTGGGCATCGAGAAGCAATGGCTGAAGTTAAAATTTGCACAGTCCACAGGAATTGCTGTTAGCCTCTCCCAATTTACATTCAAGGTGTCAGCGTTAGTAAAAGCACAGTCAGAACAAATGTCAAATAATAATTAAAATTAACAAATTAAAAGAGAGAAGAATGACATATCCACAGATATTTCAGATTTTTTTTAAAAAAAGCTATAAAGTAAAGGTATCCGGGGCAGTTAGTGCACCTGGATGTATCGTACCAGGAGCAGTGTCAAATTTTCGGGGATAATTTGACCCCTCACCCCCAATGAAATCAAGTCCTGAAACAAAAAAAAAGAAAAGAAAGACAAACGGTGAAATTTTGATTTGTGTAGCTGAGTTTCACTGCCCCCATGTACACCAGTCACATTGTACCTGTGGATATTATTAATTTAAAGAGATGCCTGTGGCTACTAAATTGGAAACAAATCAACCACACACAACACAGGTGACCAGTGGTGTTGCACAATAAACTTCACAGCTGTGTTGTAGTACTACAGAGTAAATCTGAGTTGTTTGTCAGAAAAATCTTCCCTTCCCCTTAACCACACTCTAACCCACTTCATTCCACAATTCCACAAAACACCAACACAGGAAAAAGAAAACCATTCACACAGAAGTCTGTTCCTACTAGACAGTTAAACTTCCAGCACACAGAGCTTGTCCACTCCCATCCTTTTTCTGAGGCAAGCACACCCACTGCCCCAAACACAACACCCCACTCTACTCCCTCTGGTATTTAAAGCCCCTTTTCAACTGCCAAGGAGATGATCACCCTGTCTGCTGGTGTTTCACAAAAACACCCTCTTCCCACAACAGCTGTTTTCTGAAGGAAAAAAAAAATGAACAAAAAAACCCCCATGAAAACACAAACAATCCATCCTCAGTCCTCTCCCCGACTCACCAAAACTGTGTAGTGATAGGTATCCCAGTTAATGGGACTTTTAATTCTCTTTCCAAACCTATCAGTTTTTCAGCAAAACCATAAGTATGGAAGTGGCCTAAAGCACTATTAACACAGGTGTGGATGCTTCTTATACCCAAGATGTGCTATTTACTTAAATACTCAGTAATTGTGAAAAAATAGTTTTACTTTGCAGTGGTCCAAGACTGCTCCATAAAAAAAGACAACAAAACTACCAATGAGCCCTGCCTGGCCCTGCCCATCCCTGGCTACTTACAGTCAACGACTGTGACTGTCCCATTCTCACACTGCAAAATCTGAGTTCACTTGTGTGTCAATATTGTGCATATGTGAAACAAAACCCAGAGCATCAGTTTTCCAATGCAGGAAAACGTGCAGAGGCAGTTGGGTGTTCAGAATCACCCAGTAAACATGTTTGCTTCAGGTATGGAAGGAAGCAGAATTGCTTTCAGCTCGTTTCTTTAATGAGGTCCTATCCCACCATGGTTTGAGCAAGATGACCATGAAAGAAAGAATGTTCCCAGTATCAAACTGAAGAGCAATACATCTGACTTTGAGCAATTCTCTGGAGGATGCACCAAACACTGGGAGATCTTGGATCTGCTTATCACATCACAGTTTATAAAAAACACCTTTTCAAGCAGTAGCATGGTTTCTACAGGAAGACAAATAGAGATGAGCATTCCTGTGCCTCTGTCAGGCAACAGCGCCCACAAGCTCACTCCAGAGCAATCATCCAGATCCCTTTCCTAATGTGCAAAGGGGTGAAAAGTATCAGGGTCACTGAAATCCATCTCTGAACCAGCAACCTGTTCCTTCATCCCTAAGCCTAAGACCTGCCTTGAATGTCCTCATGGCAACTGGATGGATCAAAATCCACTCACACTCAATCCAAACCAGCACACACACATGTGAAGACACTAACTTGTGCCATCATCCGGCTCAAAGCTCCCAGTGTTGTTCCACGTGTTGTTGTTGCTATTCCCGTAATTCTCATCCGTGCTGGCCGGCTCAGCATAGTCAGCTGGGTTAAAAGTTCTGTAAGAAATACAAGGATGGAAATGTTCACTCTGCCAAAGCATTTGGAAAGCAATTGATTTTATTCTGGCCATAACACATATCACAAGGCAGTTCCCTCAGCACAGAGATGCTTCAGCTACACCAGCCGTCCCAAATTTAAGTTACCATGATACAGTTTGGGCCTTATTAACAACAAAAAAAAACCAAACAAAAAAGTCGAAAATGGGAACAGAAATTACTTGACGCAAACAGTACATGCACAGACTTTTATTTTTGCTATGGTTTTTGTCAGTGAAACTTACCCCATGCCTTGGGCAGAAAATCTTCCCCCTCGCCGCCCAGAGCCACCTGTGAAACACACACACATGCACTGCTGTCCCTTGGTTCTACAACACTGGGAAAAGAAACACTTGAACAACATACAGAGTTCTGATGTCCAGAATACGAAAGTGGAGAGGATCTTCCTAGGTTGATGGGATTGCCAGCAACATATTTCGATGTATAGGAGTGACCTCAGCTGGCTGGCAGCATGATTAGCAATGCATCATTCCAGGCTCAGGTGAGGTTTCCAGCTGGCACAAACCATAAGTACTGGACCCCAGGTTCTGATTTCTGCAGTATGTGACCTCAGCAACAAATCCTAAGCAGCAGATTTGGGGGTAAAATTAATTTCTGCCTCAAGTATTTAAAGTCCAAGCCAGTGGTGGTGCTCAGATACATGTGCAAGAATGATGAGGATGCAGGTGCTGCTGCTAATAAGCCATTGGCCCACCTGCTAAAATAGTCAACCTTGAGTTTTTTGACTTCCCACCTCTGTAATAAAGCACATTCTTTTTCTAACTCCATGGATATGATGCAAAAACTAGGTGCTAGCATCTCTAAGATGGGAAAGCAATATGCAGGCACTAAAAGTACGCACAAGAACAGAAAAATCAAGTGTATCTTTTTAGTTTGGCAATTCCTCCCATAAAAGAGGTTTTGGAACCTCATGGGAGATAGATACACTTCTGTAATTCCTCTCCTCCCACCCCCTGGGGACTTCACATCCCGTGTGTACCTCGGCCTCGGCCACGTCCCCGCCTCCCTCTTTCCGTGCCTCTTCCAGAAGATCCTCCACTCTTACCACCATCCAGTCCATTCTCCTGGCCCCGAACTGAAAGACAGAACAATGCAAAGACAATTTCAAGACTCATCCTCCTTTAGTAGGGATACTGGACCACATCTCAAACCCCAAAATGAAGTGGCTGTGTGGGGGACCACATCACCGCATGCTCCCTGAACTTTCGATTTAAACCGATGGTAAGTGAGAGGATTACAGAAAAAAAATCATCTCAGACAGGGGAGCATTACACAGATCCACACATGCACAATGGGTGGTTTTCCTCACAGATATGTCTGCCCAAAAAGCTCTACTGACAGCTGTTATGCAGCACAGAGTGCTTCAGTGTGAGGGTTTTGGGGGTTATTAAAGGGCACTCCATACACTCTCTTCCACGGGTGGCACCTCGCCCTCGCCTCGGCAGCCCGCCACGTCGCCTGCTGAAATCCCGCTCCCGCTCACGGTTCTCTTTGCTTTCTTCACTGGCTTCTGTCTGTCCACTCTCCTTCTGTCCTGAGACACCTTTCTTCTTCCCAACCATTTCCCAGGAATGCTGAAGGTTTGCAGAGGGGAAAGAAATTAATCATGGTTAGATCAATAAAAGGTGTAAATACACAAAGATTCAAACATGCTGCAGAGAATGTAACAGGGGTCTCCACAAAAATGGTTTCCAGATCAATTTTTTAAGGAAACTATCAGTCTACATACAGCATATCTTCCTTCAAGCCAAGATCTCTTACAGCTGACTGGCATGCAGTTTGAGGTAATAGGAGATGAGTTATTCTATTTCTGCAAAGATCTACTAAAATTCTTCAATAGAGAGGGCATGATACTCCCAGAATTCAAAGCATGGATAAATTTACCTTGCTTAGGGGAAAAAAAGCCTGCCATTTCATACAGGTCACCAGGAGCTCTCAGAATAACCCAGGTAAAGGTTTCATAGTGATCTGCAGTCAACATTTGGGGTAAGTTCTTTCTGCAGATGCAAAGTTATTAACAAAACCTTTCTTCGAAGTATCATCTCAGATGGAGAAAAGCATCACAGAATTTAACCAACAGGCAAGTTCAACTGCAAAATGTTAAGTCTGCCTACAGCTCACTGCTGTGGGTCTGCACCCATGTATTTTCTGATAGTTGCAGTGGTATCATCCTTAAACTGATGCAGCACACTGTTAGAACAATTAAAAAATAGTCTTAAGTCATTGCCAATCACCTGAAAACACAACTGACAGACAGCTGGGTTTGAATGGCAGCATGCAGGGACAGTGACAAAAAACCCAACAACGTAGTGGCATAAACTGCCTTCAAAGCCAAGGCTTCCAAAGTCTTTCTCCATAGGTATCTGGCTCAGAAATAAACTTCAAAATTACAGTATTCAAAGTAAACATCTTTCAAGTAATTTTTTTTAACCAAATCTAATCTAATGGTAAGCTCATACCTGCTCCTTTACTGTTTGAAATACAGTACATTACAGTACATTACCACTAGCTCAAGCAGGTAAGCTGTCTTCAGCACCAGAGCACCCAAGTAATTAACAGGTCTGCTTCCTATAAGAAAATCTCTTTTCTGCAAAAACTGGATCCAGGCCAGGATCAGCTCCAAGGCATTTGACCAACGGCAGTGCAGGGACTGCCTGTGCTCAGTGATGCTGTGACTGCAAGACCACCAGGCTGGATCAGTGGCAGCCCAGCACTTCCTCTTGCCAGCTCCCTGCCTGCCTCTCCATGGCCCTGCCCTGCAGGGCCTCGTGCTGCCCATCCAAAAAAGGAGGTGGTGCTACACAGCACCAAGTGCTGCACACTGTCCTGGATGCTACTCTCATGAGCAATGTGTTTCTCCAGGCAATTAAATTGCTGTGATAGCAGGGGTTTGTTCTCTAACTAGAAGTCACTGATTAGAAGAGATGTGGAGGGGAATACAGTTGTGGCAGAGCTGTGCCTCAGCCATGTACATTCCTATCATTCCCTTTTCTAAAAGGATTTTCCAAAAGCTATTTTATTCAGCTGTCAATGGAAAGAGCTTTCTAAAGACAAGGAGGAAAGTATACATGTGTTGTACAGAACTTTTCTGAAACCAAAGCAAGAAGAGAATCAGACGCTGGGGAGCAGCTGCAGTACACAAAACATAGTCTGAGGTATCCAGCTCATCCACATACCCCCAGGGCTTATCACAAGCAAAAAAAAATGAGCTAAAGTATAATATTCTAAAATTATATTTAGACTCTCAACTCAGAGTTGAGTTGGCTCCACCCAAACAGGAGTGCCAGGAGGACATGCGATATCAGCAGTGGTTTGGAAGGAACTCACATTTGTAGGCTTTTATTGGGCTGCAACAGTACTTGCATGTCTGCTGTCTTTGTCACAAAAGAAATGACACCCTGCATGCAGGTGGAAGGTTCCTCCTAAGCTCTTGTTCTTGTTCTTGGGGCTGACCACAGCTTGCCTGAGACAAGCATCTGCATGAGAAAGAGCAGCCAAGGCCAACTCCACAAGAACAAACAACAAAAAAGCCCTCAAAACCATGGCACAGGCAGCAGCACAGAAGCCAGTCAGTGTATCACTGAGAAATGAATCTTTAGGGCCAGAGACACAAAAACCACAAGGCTCTGACAGAAAGGAACCACAGCTGACACACACCTGCCTTTCAATACTCAGCCCTGATGGGGAAAGGTAAGTTCCTTCACACTCACTGATGTGAAAGCACATGCAGATGCCACAGTACTATTGCTGAACTGCTTAGATTCAAAAGTAATAGGAAAAAATTACTTATGGCATTTTCTCCTCTATTTCTTCAAGCCTAGGGCCATTCTCATGGCCTGTGCAAGCCCACAGAGAGCAGTGTTCAGCAGTCAGGTCACAGTCACACTGTGCATGCTCCTGTGGAGCTAGTCAGTCATAGTGGCACTCCTTATCTTGACACTACTGGATGCCTCACCTCCAAATATGCACTTACACTGAACTAGGCCTCACCAGATTTACAGGACCTAATCCTACCGTGTCCGGATTGCCCTCCAGCAGCACGTTGATGGCTCTGTTGACATCTCCGTTGCAGTCATGCAGAGCAATCACACACTCATCCTGGTTCTTGCCTGTGATGTCAATCAGCTGTAGAGAAGACACCACCATGGTCAGTATGTTCCAAACCAAGATGGTACCAAAATCTCTATGGGTCTCTCAGGGCAAAAGTGAGTTGAATCCCAAACCAAAAACCCTTCAACAAAAAACTGAAGAGCTAGGGAGTCTCTCCAGCCTTCTCAGCTTAACTATGTTTCTCAACAAGAAGGGACTGAGGGTTTGAATTTTTGCGTTACCATTGTTTCACTATGACCCTCCTTTCGCTACAACTTCCTTTTCTCAGGATAACACTGTTACTGTAGAAACAAACTAAAATTTCAGCAAGAAAAAAGTTGCTGCCCCTGCATCAAGGCAACACCAAACACAAACGGGCTGGGGGAGAATGGAGAGAGCAGCCCTGAGAAAGACTTCGGGGTGTGAGGTAACATGACCTGGCCACGTGCACTGGGAGCCCAGAAAGCCAACACTGTCCTAGGCCCATCCACAGCAGTGTGAGAAGCACGTGAAGGAGGGGATTCTGCCCCTTTGCTCTGCTGAGACCCCCCTACACAGCTGCCTCCAGCTCTGGGAGCCCAGCACAGGAAGGACAAGGAGCTGCTGAAGCAAGTCCAGAGGAGGCCACAGGGATGACCCGAGGGCTCTGGAGGCAGGCTGGGGGTGCTGAGCCTGCAGAAGTAAAAGCTCCAGGGAGACCTCAGAGCCCCTTCCAGGGCCTAAAGGGGCTCTGAGAGAGCTGGAAAGGGACTTTGGGCAAGGGCCTGGAGTGACAGCACAGGGGAATGGCTTCCCATTGCCAGAGGGCAGGGTTATATAGGATATTGAGAAGAGTCTTTCCTGTGAGGGTGGTGAGACCCTGGTACAGCTTGCCCAGAGAAACTGTGGCTGCCCCATCCCTGGAAGTGTTCAAGGCCAGATTGGACAAAGCTTGGAACAACTCAAGATAATAGAAAATATCACCATAGCACAGGGGCAGAACTGGATGCCCTTGAACATCCCTACTGACTCAAAAGCATGCTATGATACAACTTCATGAAGCCAGTCCAAGGAAATACAGTGAACAGCCAGGTGTGTTCCTCCCACACCCCCCATCATTCGCAGTACTCCCAAAACTGATCTCGCCTTCATGTCAGAATTCACCATCATTTTCCACACTCACTTGTTTCACCTTCTCCTCAAAGTCAGCATCGTTGTGGTCTGAAATCATCTGTGCAAGTCGAATCTGTTCTGCAGTAGCCTAAAGAAATCAGAGAGAGACAGAGCACATCATCAGAATGGTGCATTTCCAAACCATTCTCCAAAGGTCATTCTGCTAAGCCAAGTTGTCTGGAAACTCTGGAAAGGAATCAGTATAGTAAAGAGAAGGCACAAACAAGGGTAAGAGAAGGAAAACTCCAGAGAGAAAGTGAGACGAAAAAGGAGCAAAAGGAGTCTGGAAGAAAGGGATATACTGTTGAATGGCCTCATGGCACCAGATGAGCAGCAGCCACCCAAACCACATCTGTTTTGGAGCAGACCTTACTACCACCAGACCACCAAGACCCACTGCAGGTGGCTTCTCAGCCACTTGCGTGCATTAAAGTGTGTGAGGAACGGACAAATGGAAGTAAACCAAATCTCAGCAGCAGCTCCCAATTGGAGACAGACATGGAAACCCCAGTGTCAGCAGCTGCCCAATTAACCTGGCTCTGGCAGCAGCACCTTGTGACACAAAGGGAGTTTGTGAGGCAAACCCAGCCGTTAGCACTGGAGCAGACAGGAGTGCCAGGTCTCCACCTACAAGCTACCTGGTTTCTATGGACACTGCCCTTACCTGTGGCCGCTGCTTGTGCTGCGTCTGGCTCTGTGTCTGTGTCTGCTCCCAGCTCCCCCGGGCTCGGTTAGTGCCCACCGATGTCATCATTTACAGTATATACAAATAACAGTATTTACAAGGTTGAACTCTGTGGTGGGTCAGGGGAGAAGAGAGAACGGACTGTTAGATACCAAAAACAAAAGGCAGTACCAAGACCGAACAATCACAAAGGCAACAAAGCCAGAATGGCTGCTGTAGATCCCCACTCTCCCCACCAATTCCCTAAAACCAGAGTGGGCCAGGCTGCCATCACCACATACCCCCCCCCCCCCCAAAACTGCTACTTGTACTTCTTAGGGTTTCTCTCTGAATACCATGGCAGAGTGCTCCAAATGGATACCACCTGCATCCACGTGGGAGCAATCAGGCACCAGGAGCCAAAGGAAAATCTCAGACTGGTTTGGGTTGGAAGGGACCTTGAAGCTCATCCAGTTCCACACCCTGCCATGGGCAGGGACATCTTCCACCAACCCAGGTTGCTCCAAGCCCCATCCAATCTGGCCTTGGACACATCCAGAGGTGAGGCAGCCACAGCCTCTCTAGGCAAGCTGTGCCAGAGCCTAATCCTCATAGTAAAAAACCTCTTTCCCAGGTAATCTAGATTGACCCTCCTTCAGTTTGAAGCCATTCCCTGGACTTGAGGCAAAGGTGTGAGTGGTCACAGATCTGCCACGAGCCCAAGCTGAGGCTGTGGCCATCAAATGGAGTAGGAAGGCTTGAAAAAAGCTTCAAAGCAACTTGGAAGACAAAGCATCTCAGAGCCTCAGACACATTAGCTGCTTCCCCTTCTCCTTCCTTGCCTTTAAAGCAGGGCAGAGGAAGCAAAGTGCTCCAGCAATAAGTGGTGCTACAGGTCTGTGGAATTTTTGTTTTAAGAAAACCTGCCCTTGCAGAAGTGCCTATTTTTGCTCATTTAAATTATTCCTTCAAACTGGAAAAACAAAGTTTTTCTTAGTATTCTTGATTAAAAACATACCAAAAGAGTGAACAAGATATCTACAAGGAATAACAGTCAGTGACACTGTTAAATAACACTGCTTGAGGCAAAAAATCCCAAAGAGTTTGAGTGTCCAAAGCAAGCAGTTTTCTAACATCATTGGGCCTCAGGGCAGGGGGTGATGAAAAGGGATTAACACTGAGGTTTTACCCTCTCCAGGCACGAAGGATGTGAGATGTAAGACATCTCACAACACTTGTCAGGACCCCCAACTTCTGACCCCCTGAAAATTCAATAGTCATAGAAATCACATTTTTGTATTCCATTTGTTCATTTCATTACTGCAAAGCCTTCTCCCAAAGCAACTGCTAAGGAGACCTGCTGCTGCACCCCAGGCAGACACAAGGGGCATGGGAAGGAGCCACAAAGAGAGTGCAGAAGCAGGGAGAAAAGCATAGCAAGACAACCAGACATGCAGGATCTGATCTGAAACACTGCTGTACACGAGTAGGGCAGCACAGGGAGAAACAGGTGTGCCAAGCAGGGAAGCTCAGAAGCAGCATTAGCAAATAGTGCAGGAAAAGCTGGGGAACCTCCTGTTGAAGTTTGTAAGTGCTCAACTGAGTGAGAAATCCCTCCTGAGAGCAGGGAGGCCCTAACATTTCCTCTACACTAGACACATACCCCCCACACCTGCTCCCACCACTGCCTGGCCTTTCTCTGTAGGCAGGTTTATTACTCCTGAAGCACTCCACAGAACCTCCAAATTCCCCCCTTCACTGCCATGCCTCGTGGCAACTTCACACTTCAGTTTTACAGCTATACAGTGCCAAGGTCCCTTATCAGGAAACAATGCAAGCTACCTATGCAGCTACCAGAAGCCCCTGAGGTATGGGGGAAGAGCACCAAGCCTGCACTTCTGCCAAGGCAGAGCAGAAAAAGCCTTCTATCCTCAGCCAGCCCCTCTGTGCAGGCTCTGTTCCCATGGTATATATTTATTTTTGCTTTCTTCCAGTTCCAAGTTTCACGCACGATTTATTGTATTAAACCAACCTGGCAGCAGAACCATAGGCCCAGAGGGAAGTGATTCCATGCATCCACAGGAACCCAACCTGCAACTTCCCTGGGCTGCAGATCCAGCAGACTGAGCCCAAACCTTGTGCAGTGCCCAGGCACTGTTCAGCAGCTGCCATGCTCTGCCCTGCCCAGCTGCATCACTGCCACCAGTAACACAAGCATTTATCCTTCAATATGCAAAAAACCCATAAGAAAAATATCTACGATAGAAACCTCAACCAGGCCTTGACTCTGCTGAGGCCATCAGGTGAAGGGGTGTCCCCATACAGACCCCACCACAGCCTTGAGGAAAGAGGACTTGGCTACTGGTAACTTATTCCTCAATGGGAGAACTTGAGATCAGCTCACTGGCAGCATTGAGCCACAGAACACAGCTACCCCAATGCCTGCGCTGGCCCCACAGCTGCACACAAGTTTCCCATGTCAAAGCTGCTCTCAAAAGCATTTCACCTCTTCTCTTGAGAGAGCAAACCTGCACACATGCACCCAGAGGTGAAAGAGCAGCTCCAGCCAAAGCGAGTGGTGACCAGGCCACACTGGAGCACTAGTGCTAAATGGAGCAGCGCTCACACCTCAGGCCAGCAGCACTGCACAGGGAAACAAAGGAAACTTAGGGAAAACAAGAAGTTTCAGTTACAGGTTACAATATCCTCTGGTCAAAAATACTGCATCAAATGAGACATTGGCTGTCACCCCCTTTCTCAGGCCATACCACTGCCTTCGCACCAGGCCTAAAGAGGAGAGTCTCAACAACACAAGTGAAGTGCAGAGACTCCAGAAAATGAGGGGATACAAAAATGTAACAAACTGTTCATTTTATTAGAAACGTCAAGTAAGTTACAGTTTCAGAAACAGGATCTGTAGGTCCCATGGTAATGCCAGACCTGCTGGCTGCCACTCGCCCTGGCACATCCCAGTTTCAGTTTCCCTGATGTGTTAAATACAGAAAAATGGTATTTTCATCCCATTCCAACAAAGCTTAATTAACGTGTGCAGAAAGCTTCAAAGCCCCAAAGGAAATGGCCAGAGAAGGTAAAGCTTGTCCTGCAGCATGGGGCAGAACGAGGACCCAAAAAGAGGATTATTAATGCGAGAAGTTTTTCCCCAGAGGAAAGGCATGGTGGCCACAAACAGAGTCATTCCGTATACGCAAAGCATGAGCTTTTACGGAAATGCTCCCGGATATGCCATCAGAGACCCCGACTTGGTATCGACGGGCAGCGCTTTGCCCGGACCGGAGGGCGCAAGCAGAGCCTTCACACCGGGATGGAGGGACGTGGAGTAGGGCGGCACTCGCGGGGCGGGGCTCCCTCAGGACCCCCGAACCGCTGCTGCCCGGGAATTTCACGTGGGCAGCGGAACCACCCCTACCACGGCCCCCGGGGCGCCACCGAGGAGCGGTGGCAGCAGTGGGCCTGGCGGCCCGCAAGGAGCCCGGCAGGGCGGGAGCACGGCTCCCATTGTTACCGCCGGCAGCGGCGGGCGGGCCCCGAGAGCGCGGCAGGGTCGGAGCCGCCCGACCCCGCGGCCCAGTCCCCGGCACACAATGAGACGACGAACCGGACCAGACCGAACTGGAGGGCGCCGGCGGGGCCGGGCGGGAGCCCCCACGGCGGCGCCAGGCCGGGCCCGCAACGGAGAGGCGGGCGAGTTCGGGCGCTTCCGCCCTCATGGCCGCGGCCGCCATTTCACCCCCCCCCCCCGCCCGCAACCGGCCCGCCCGCCTCACCTGCGGCGGCCGCGCGCTACGCCAGCCCCCGGCTACGGCCCGGCCCACTAGGCCGCGCGGGGCCCAGCGGCGGCGGCGGCGGGACTCAGAGCCGCCCCCAGAGCACCGGACGCAGAGGGGCCGGGTAGGCGGGAGGCGGCGAGGCCGGGCAGGTAGGGGACGGCAGCGGGAGGCGGTGGGGGCGGGTTTGAGGGCCGCGCGGTACCGGAGCCACCGCCGCCGCCGCCGCCAACTTTACCTGGGTCCGCCCGCACTGACAACTCCCCCGACCCCGCCCCCAGCACGTGACCGGGCGGGGCGGGGCTGCCCGCGCCGAACACGTGACGTACGCGGGGGCGCTGCGGCGGCCCCGTACGGATCACGTGGTTGGGCTCCTCTGGTCACGTGGTGTGGGCGCAGGGCGGCTTTGTGGCCGCCATGTTGTGCGGCCCCGGGCCGGGCCGGGCATGGCGGGGGCCGGCAGCAACTGGCTCTCGGGGGTCAACGTGGTGCTGGTCATGGCTTACGGCAGCCTGGTGAGGGCCGGCGGGACAGGGCGGCAAGGGCTGGGTATCTGTACGGCCTGGAGTGTCCGCGCAGCCCCTGCGAGGCTGATCCCGGCGCGTCCGTGGAGCTCCCGTGGGCCGGGGCCCGAGGAGTCGATAAGGCTCCCGTGAGACACGTCCCGGCCTGTCTTTTGCGGAGCCCCTCGGAGTCGGACTCGGGGCCCTCTTGGGGCTGGGCTGGAGGGCTCCTGGGGTCGGTGAGGCAGGGAGAGGATATGAGTGGCAGCATCTGTATAAATTGGGAGGGTGTGGGGCTGACCTGAGTGTCCAGGGGGCTCTTAGTGGGCTGAACAGCCCTCTGTGCTCACCGGGCTTGGAGGGGCTGGGAAGCGGGCACCAGAGGGCTGGGCACAGGCTGGCTGTGAGATCTGCCCCCCTGCATGCCTGACCCCCACCCCGCTGTGGCTCGACAGGTCTTTGTGCTGCTGTTCATCTTCGTGAAACGCCAGATCATGCGCTTTGCCATGAAGTCCCGCCGTGGCCCCCACGTGCCTGTGGGACAGCATGCACCCAAGGTGGGTTTTCTCTATTCCCTACGGCCACGGGCCCATCTATACCTGAAGGGAGAGGCAGGAGCTGCTCCAGCGTCAGAGCTGCTGCCTCAGAGTGGTGATAGGCAATGGTGAGGGTGTGGTTTATCTAGGGCCTGTTCTTATGCTTTGATCCCACAAACAAAGTGAGTGGTCTGTATATGATTTTTTCCTGCTGTACAGGATTTAAAGGAAGAGATTGACATTCGACTGTCAAGGGTGCAGGACATCAAGTATGAGCCACGGCTGCTGGCAGAGGATGACGGCCGGCTCCTGCAGCTGGAGACACCAGGTACTGTGGCAGAGGTACCATCCTGCTCTTGTTCCCCTGGCACCAAGTCACACCTTTAACTGCTCATGTTGGTGTCCTGTCACATGCGATTGTGTCTCTACTCCTGTTTTCCCTTTCCCCACTTCCCTCCAAGGTTTGCAGAGACCTCAGTTTGTGCTTTCCCTTTACTAGGCTGCTATAACTACCTGTACCGGATGAAGGCACTGGATGCAATCAGGACATCAGGTAAGGGAGCCCAGGACAAGAGTGGAAGCAGAAGGGGACAGAGAGACCCTGAATGAGGGTGCCAGCAGCCCCGTGGGGAGGCTCCAGGTGCTCACTGGGAAGTAGCAGTGACTTCTCCTGCTGGTGGCTTGTCAGTTGGCTCTCCTCACGTGCTGGGGCAGTTGGCAAATGGAGGCAGTGGGCATGGACAGAACTTATCCAGCCAGTGATTCCTGACCATAGGGATGAGCACAAGCATTTTTACCTGCGCTTCAGCTGTTGTGTCTTTTTCCAGAAATCCCATTTCAAGCTGAGGCCCGGTACCCAAAGTCCTTAATAGGAAAGAACTTCTGTGCCTACTTGCTGGAACTGCGGAATTCCAGCACCTCCTTCAAAGGCATCCGCAAAGCCTTGATTGACACCTTGCTGGATGGCTATGAGAGTGCCCGCTATGGCACTGGGGTGAGTGCTGCTGGGGCACTACTGGCCTCACGGGGCATTCCTGTGCTCTGCCCTGCTGCTGGGACTGAGGTCACACCATAACTTGGATGTTCCATGGTCTTTTCTGTTTGTACCCAGGTCTTTGGGAAAATGGAATATCTGAAGTATGAGGAAGCTCTGAACGAATTGGCAAACATGTAAGTGCTGCTGCCCAGATGCAGTGGTGGGTTCCTGGGCCCCAGCAGCTTGTGGGAAGATGGGAACAGAGATGAGTTTTGGGGCACAGCCATCATCTGAGACAGGGGCTGTCTGTGCTCATCTGTCCCTCTGGGTTCACTCCTTCCTTGCAGTCCATCTGTTACTGCAGTTTTGGGTTTGTTCTATGGTCACAGTAGACATTACTGCTTATCCCCGACCACTTTGAGTCAAGGACCTGCACAGAACCAGTGGCCTTAGATGTCAAGACCTCACTGAGTGCTGTTCATCACGAAAGCAGATTTGCTTTATGTTAGACAGACAGATACACAGCTGAGCAGCTCCTTTGGGGCAGCAGCAGCAGTGATGGTGCCTCTTCTCTGCACGCAGGACCAAGGCCCGGGGCGGCAGCAGCCAGCGGCAGCACCAGTCAGCAGTGAAAGACCTCACTCTGTCCCCTGAAGTCTCCAACCCCACCACCATCCAGGTCACCTACCTTCCTTCCAGCCAGAAGAGCAAACGTGCCAAACACTTCCTGGAGCTGAAGAGTTTCAAGGACAACTACAACACGCTGGAGAGCACCCTGTGAGCCTGCAGGGGCCTGGTGCAGTGGGTATGCTGGGCGGGTCTGGGCTGCAGTGCAGGCAGCACTGAGAGGAACCAGCTACACTTTCAGATCTCCCCCTCACACCACGTTGGAGATCATCACTCAGCGGGGGCTCCATTCCAACTGCTGGAGTTTGGCCCTCACCAGGAGCCCATTCTGGAGCTGCTGAGCCCATGGGGATCAGCCCCACGGTCTTCTCTGCCACAGGCTTATAACACTCCAGGCTTTGAGTCCTGCACTGTCTTGGACCCTGTGAATAAACTCATGAGCTTGAGCTTATTTATAAAGACATGGATCCCAGCCAGCGCTCCCCTCTACCCGTCCTTCCCTGCGGCAGCTGGCGGGAACTGTTTGTCCGTCCTGTGCGTGTGGGTCTTGGGCACTGGAGCCACTTGTCTGTTTTTTTCTGAAGGGTGAACACTTTTCCCCATGACGTCATTGTTCCTGCTGTCAGCCCTTTGTGCCCAGCCCGCCTGTGCGCCTGGATGGGGTAGAAATAGTTTGGTGCCTGTTCTTAGCACCATGGCTAAGATACTGCTTTAGGCTGAGGTTTCTACTCATTCTTCTGGAACCGGGCATTGGGGGACATATCGAGTGGACAAAGCAGTGCTAAATGTCCCATCTGTTCTGCCAAGGGGGTGTTTGCTCCCACTCTCACCAGCGCCTCGCATGCCAGCGTCTGCCGAGCTCCTGGGGCTGGAAGCTCACGGCCCCCACCTTGAGTCTGCATTCTGTCAGGCTGAGGACAGCGCCGGCAGCTCACCCATCACTGTGGCGTGGGCAACACAGAGTGGAGGGTACAGACCGCGGCACTTTTTAATTACTGTTTAATAAAATGACAGTTTAGCTCAAGTAGGATGTGTGCCACCGGTCTCTGACTGCAGCGCCCCATCTCTACCCGATCCCCAGGCTTCATCCCTCCTGAAGCTGCTACAAAGTAACCAGGATGCCATTAATGGTAGCCAGGATGCAGCCATTACTGCTCTGGTAACTGAGATACCGTGGCAGTACCTGGCACACAGTTACGGTAACCAGGATGCCACCATTACAGTAACTGAGAGGCTGTTACCGTAACCAGGGTGCCGGTTACTGCCCAGGTATTCCATTAACACCAAGGAATTCCATGAACACGTTGCAGGGTCCCTGTGGCACTGGCCATGGCAGTACCAAACAGCCAGAGCTCCTCACTGCAGCGGGGGGTCAGACAGGGCAGGAGTTGGGAAGATGGAAGCTGTCCTGGGAGCAGGTGGGGACAGTGGGCTGCAGTGTGCCCTGGTGCAGGTTAAAGCCCAGGCCACACAAATGTTACTCCTTGCTGGTCCGGGCGCATGGGAATGCTGGTGCAAGGCTCCTGGAGAAGTAGAGCTGGCAAAGTGCCCTGGGGGCTGAATCCCCTGTCCTGGGGATCTGTGGGCAATGAGGAGCCCCAGCATAGGGCAGGCTGGAGGAAACAACTCTGCATCCCTGACCTGCCCACCCTGTGTCTCAATAGATGTGAGCGGGAGGCCAGGGAGCACCCAAAGTGCTGGGCATCATCCCTTGGGGTGCTGCAGTGCCTCATGGAGTCGCGGCTGAAGAAACGTGTGGATTTGGAGCTGCACCTTGCAGGCAGAGAGCAGACTGTGGTGAGGCTGGGCATTGGTTGGTACAGCTGGGGTCCCCAGCTGTCTGCTGCCGGGGGTGGGTGCCCCCCTTGTCCTGCTCCACTACATCCTGGGGAACAGTATCTCCCAGTGCTGATGAGCCAGGGGGATGTGGGAGTTCAGCACAGCCCCTGTACCTGGCAGATCCGCCGAGATGCCCTGTGCCGGCTTGTCCTGGATGAGCACCTACAGCACCAGCAAGAGCTGCGCCAGCAGGGGAAAGCCTTCTATGTGGAACGGCTCTGAGTGCTCAGCCCAGTGTGTGGCACTGGCCTGGCATTGCCCAGCTCCTGACTGAGAGTAAAATATGTCGAGCAAGTCAGGCTGTATCTGCTGCATGTGAGGCATGGGACAGCCCAGGGCAGCAGTGGGGGGAAGACAGCCCAGCACAATTCCTGTGGCTGGGATCCAGACATGTCGCCTGCAACCCTGGGTGCCCTGAATCCTGCACACTTCGTCTCGCCCATGGCTGCGCCAGGAGGTGGCAGCACAGCCAGCATGCCTCACCAGACTTGGTGCCTCTACACTGGGTCCGTGTCCCAGCACAGGTCCTGCTGTGCCATGCCGTGTGCCACAGTGCCCATGACCATGTGGCACAGCCCTGCAGCAGCAGGGAGAGAAGTCTGGCTGGGCTGGGTACAATGCTCCCTGTCCCCACTTGCCATCCAGGCACCCCAGGATCCCTGTCTGCTCCCCAGCTGGGAGGGCCCTGTACCCTACCTCCCATCCCTTCTGCCTGTGCCCGACCTTGGTGTCTCCCAGCCCCAGGGCCCATCAGTGCCTGCTCTGGCTCTGCTTATTGACAGGGCTGGGGGCTGCTGGGCTGGAGCCCCCCCTCTCAGCCCTTCATTAGCTCGGCTGTCAGGCTGCATCACATCACCCAGTGCCACACACATGCCCCCGGCTCTGGCACTGCTGCTGCCACGTGTGTCTCTGCTGTCCCCACTGCCACCTCATTGTGTGGCCACCTCAGGGGGCTGAAGCCCCTGACCCCCAAGGCCAGGCTGTGTCCCTGTCCTTCCCATGGCACTCAGGATTCTGGCTGCTCTATGTCCTGTCCCATTGGTCCCCCAAAGCTTGAACCCCCACAAAGCCCCCAGTGCTATTCCCAAGGCTGATGTGTCCCACTGCAGCAAAGCACTGCTGTGGTGTGGGGAGGCTGTGCTTCCAGCACTCCATGATATCCCGTGTGCCCTTGTTGCTGGACACCACCACCCTGGTCCCAACAGCTACCTCAGTGTGGGTCAGTGTCCTGCCTCTGTCACCCGGCACGAGTGACATCCATCCTCAACACGGATGCGGCAGGGTGACAGGCAGCCCCTCCAGCCGCTCCTTGGAAGAGATAGTCCCGAGAGTTCCAGCAGCTCCCCCAAAGCAAGGGGATGTGAGGCACAACTCCCCTGTGTCAATGGGACTCGTCCTTGGGCAGGGTCATGTGCAGCCCCTTGGTGGCACAGGGCCTTCAGGCCAGGGCTGGTCCCCCAGTATTGACAGCCCCGCTAATGACAGGGAGTGTGACCAGGGGCAGGAGCAGGCGGCGCGGGGCCATCGACCGCATCGACCGGCAGAGCTGGGCGGCAAGGGCGCGGGGGTCCACGGAGGGGGCAGGGGGACGTCAATGGGTGGTAATTAATGGGAACGAGGCCACGTGTGCAGGGCCAGGGCTGTCGCTGGCCACGTCCCTCTGCTCAGTGAGCCGAGCACAGTTATAAACAGCGGCCAGGCGACCCCCAAGCCAGAGCGCAGCAGAGTCCCCCAAGCCAGCCCAGGTAAGATGGTGATGGATGTGGGGTCCCTTTCGTCCCAGCACTGCCTGCCATGACATGCTACTCCATGCGAGTGCATGTCTTGGTGTGCCCTGACATGCCATCACAGGAGACCAAGCCTGCACTGCTCTGCTCCAGCTTCATCCCAGCCACAGGACGCCTCCTGCTCCAGCACTGCATCCTGAGCACCCCAGTACCGGCACAGGTGCCCAGCAGGCTCCAGGCACTGAGGTGAGGCTGGGTGCTGCCTCTGCAGTGCCTCGGGGGTTATACCTGGATACCACTCCCACCCCAGCTCTCAGTGTATTATTTTCTTTCTCTTACAGGCAGCAGAGCTCCGGGTCTTCCCACCTCCATCTGCCCCTGTCTCTGTCTGATATGTTTGATATTAGGTTGTTTTATTGGAAAACCAACTAAATATCAAACATATTCTTACAGCGCCAGGGACGCCCAGCACCGACTTGGCCAGATGCTGCCTGTACCCTGCCTCAGGCAGGGGGGCCCTCTGCACCCTGTCCTGCACCTTTTGCTAATCCTCACTGCCACAATAAAACCTGTCTCCCCATCTCCATGGGACTTGAGAAGGGGAGCCCAGAGCCGTCCTGGGGGTTGGCGGAGGTTTGGGATGGCAGCGGTGTCAACGCTTGCCACCTGTCCCCCCGCTCACGCCAGGGATGATGACAATACAAAGGCCCGTGGCCCTGTGCCCAGCACTGCTTCCACTGCCCTGGCATGGGGGGATTATTTATGGAGGTGCAGCCACTGCTCAGGGCCCTTGGTGGGCATTGTCCCCTCCAGTGCCCTGCCCAGGGTGCCTGGAGCTTCCACCAGGTCTTTGTCCCCCAGGTCCCTGGATGCTGACCCCTTTAGCCCTCAACATTTGTCCCTGGGTGGGAGCAGTGGCTCTCTTCCATAGGAGATCCTAACCAATTTATGGGGCCAGTAGGACCTCTGAACCGGCACAAGGGGGCTGCAAATTCCTCGGCTGACTGCAGACCAAGTGTCACCACTTGCCCTGAGAATTCCTCCCTGCCTCTGGGGAATCTGCTCCTCCAGCTGCCAACCGCGTTCTCCACCTCAGCACCAAGCACCAGCACGGCTAGAGCTGGGCTCAGGGCTCCGTGGGCTCCTGGGGGGCTCTGCCCCTGGTGCTGGGTGCAATCTCCCCTGCTGCTCCCTGCAGAGCCAAACATTCTCGGCCAAGCCCCTGCTCCCAAAATAGCGTCAGGATGATCTTGCCCTTTTCCATGCCGCCCCCGGGCAGGGGTAAATGTCAGCCCAGAGCCACCAAAACATCCTAAGCCCCCCCAGGAAGGCAAATGGGGAGTCAGGATTTCGTGCCAGTGCTGCACGGACCCGGTTCAACATCCTGAGGAACTGCTTGGGTCACCAGCCAGGGTGTCCCATTGCATCGGGGGAGGGGGCACCTGGGACAATGCAGGACCCCCTCTCACAGACCTGCTGCTGCTTTTTATAACACCCCAGCTGTCCTCGGGAGCCCAAATAAGGCTGTGACCACTGGTAGCCCCCGGGATGCACAATGGGTCCTGAGCACAGACTTTTTGGGAAGGTGGGGAGGCGGGTCAGCCCAAGAAAGGCAAAGCCCTTGTGCTCGGCAGAGCTGATAAACGGTCAGGGGGGCACAGGCAACACAGCTGCCCTACCCACCCATTGTCTGTCCTGTATCCCGCTGCCCACCACTGCCTGTGATCCACCAAGGATGGAGGCCATCAAGAAGAAGATGCAGATGCTGAAGCTGGACAAGGAGAATGCCCTGGACCGGGCAGAACAGGCAGAGGCTGAGCAGAAGCAGGCGGAGGAGCGGAGCAAGCAGGTAGGGCAGACAGTCACAGCTCCCAGCACAGGGGTGTTGGGGGGTGGCTTCTGCCTGTGCTGGGTCACTCTGAGCCCAGACCCAACAGAGACTTTGCCTGAGGTATGAGAGTGTGACAGTTGCCACTATCCCACAGCTCAAGGGCACCCCAAGGGCTGTCCAGGGCTCAGTCTCTACCAGCTGGTGAGATGTGGCAAAGGGACAGACACTGTGGGGCAGAGCTGGTCCCAAGGATGGGGCAGGAGGGATGCCATGGGGCAGAGCTGAGCCTGGGATGGGGCAGGCAGGACTCTCTTGGGGTGCTGGGGTTCAGAATGGTGTCCACCTGTGGTGACATCATTGTCCTTCCAGCTGGAGGATGAGCTAGCTGCCATGCAGAAGAAGTTGAAGGGGACAGAGGATGAACTGGACAAATACTCTGAGGCCCTGAAAGACGCCCAGGAGAAGCTGGAGCTGGCAGAGAAGAAGGCGGCGGATGTACGTATGGGGTGCGGGGTGCAACGTGAGCGCTGCCTTGCCCCCCTTCCTGTTGGGACTGCAGCCCTTCCCTATGCCTTGGGGACACAGCAAGGTCCCCGTCTGGCTCAGTGTACTCCCGGTAAAGCTGTGTAGGTGTCTAGGAGCAGAGAATGGCCCTGTGAAGGATGCATCCGGAGGGCAGAGCCAGGCAGCGAGCAGCCCATCAAGTGCGGGATGTGGGGTCCACGTGTCCCCAGGAAGCTCTGAGTCACGGCTGGGGGTGGAGAAGCCGAGCTCCGAGAAGGAGAAGAGGAGGGGGGAGCCCTCATCCCCCTGCGGGCGGAGGCTCATGGGCAGCGTGAGCACTGCACAGCCCGGCTATTGTTGTCCGCTGTTTCCAGGAAAACAATGGTGCGAGCGGTGCAGGGTTTCACCCAGCGGCCGCTCTCCTGCCATCACGAGGCATGAGGCCCCGCTCATCACCTGTCAGGACCTGGCAGTCCTTGTGGGGCTGGGATGTCTCAGGGTCCAGTGTCAAAGCGATGCAGCCCGTCCTGCCGCAGAGAAGGCGGGAGCCGTCCTCTCGCAGCGTGCCCGTGGGGAAGTGCCTGAGCCCCAGCACAGCACTTGGGCTGCTCTCAACTGGGAGCTCCAGAGCCCCGGGACATCTGTCACCCTGCAGCTTTGCTTGCAGGTCCCTGTCACCAGCCCTGCACTGGAATCGGCTTGTGCCAAGTGCAGCATTGTAAAGCTCTTGGGAGCCCTTTCCCTCCCTCACACCCTTCCTGCCTCCCTCTGCTCCTCGTTGGCATTTTCTCTGCTGTCATCACATCCCCATTTGCTTCTTCGTGGATCCCTCTCTGTGCATCTGGAGCCCCTTTCCTGGACCCCCCGTGGGGGTCCCCCAGCTTCCCCCGGCTCTGGAAAATGGAGGAGTTTTGCACCCTGGAGCGCTGAAAGGGCAGAGCTGCCTCCCAGGTGCTTCCAGCCCAACAGAGCCCGTTTGATTCCCACCTCATCCCTGAAAACATGCTATGCCACACCTGCCGTCCCAGACAAATGCTCCTGCAGCATCTACCTGCCTGGCTGCCGAGGGTTTCAGGCCAGCAGCCCGGAGCCTTTCCCTTCTATCCACATGCTTGAAGCACGGCTGAATAGGCTTTGTGGGGAATGAGAATAACAGGGCTCAGTGATGTGTTTATTGAGCTCTTGGGGTGCTCCATGACCCTCATGACACTGAGGAACACAGCTCCCAGCTCTGGCGAACGCTGATCTTCGCAGTGTTATCTACCCTGAGACAGGAGGGTTTTCGCCTCGGCTCAGCACTCGGATTTGGCACACGGAAACGGAGTGGGAGCCTGGCGGCCACAGCCCTGTTCCTAGGTGAAGGAAGGAGCAGGATCTGCTCCGGAGCTGTGGGCTCCTGGCCCCGGCAGAGTCTGGGGTGGCCCGCAAACGCAGCCTGCGGGGCTGACGGGCGTCCGGTACGGAGCGGGGCGGCTGAGACGGTGGTTGTACGGGGCACGGCAGGCAAGCCCGTGTGGGCCCGGGTGGATCCTCCGGGCCTTGTGACACATGAGGCCAGTCCCGGTACCCCCACGCCCATATGGGGCGGGTCCCTGTAGACCCAGGATGCTCCCCCCGGCCCGGTGCCGGTGACCAATTCTCGCGTGTTCCCGTCCCACCGGGGCAGATCCCGGTGTGTGTCCCCCGCCCGGTGCCAGTGCCCCCATCCCCGCCGGTCCCGGTCTCGGTGCCCCCGCCACGCCCCGGGCGCGGCGGCCGCTCCTCATCTCCCCGGTAACGCGCCCGCGGGGCGAGGCGGAAGTGACGTCACTTCCGTCCGGCCGTTCCGGGCGCGGTCCCGGTGTCTGGGGGTGGCGGGGCTGGAGCGGAGGGACCGAGCATGGCCGGGGCCACCACTATCGAGGCGGTGAAGCGCAAGATCCAGGTGCTGCAGCAGCAGGCGGACGATGCGGAGGAGCGGGCGGAGCGGCTGCAGCGGGAGGTGGAAGCCGAGCGCCGCAACCGCGAGCAGGTACCGCCGGGGCCGCCGCGCGGGGGCAGAGCGGGACGGGCGGCGCGCCCGGGGCCGGGGGTCGTTCTGAGCCGCGGGAGTGCCGGCGAGGTGCCGAGCCGGGCCGAAGTGTCCGCTGGGGCCATGGCACTTGCTCTGTGTCCGTGGCTCTCTCTGGGTCCCTGGGACCCGCCCGTGGTGCTGAGCAGACACCGAGGCCGGGGGGGAGCGGCCTTGTCGTTGTTTCGCTGTTACCGGTGTCCCGGGACGGGCCGCAGCAGGGGGGGACCCGGCCGGGGGGAGGGGGAGGCCCCGGCCATCTTGTGCGGCCCCGAGCCCGGAGCTGCGCGGGTAAGATGGAAGGAATGAGCGGGCTCCCTCGGGATGTGGCCAGCTCAGGAACCCTCTGAAGCACTCCCAAAGTCCGCATCGTGCCCGGATCCCGGCGAGCGGGGCTCTCCGCTGCCCCTGAGAGCGGCGGCCGCGGGGGAACACAGGGGCTGGGGCTGGGGTGGGGTTGCCTGAAAAGGAGGAGGGAGCAACGACAGCAGGATCTGAGCTGGCAGCGCTCACCGCCGGGCTGGGAACACCGGAAAGGCTGGGGACAGGGATGAGGTGACACGGGCAGCACCTCGAGGTGGCCGGCTCCCTTGGGCCTGGGACACAGGCAAGGCTGATGGCGTTTTGGAGACAAGGGCAGGTCCTTGCTCGAATCTAAGCGTGATTCTCGTTGAATTTGCAGTGAGTTTGTTATATTCGAAGCGTGAAGCTGAGCCCTCCCCCCGAGTGCTCGAGCCTTTGTCAGTGACAGCGCTGTGGCACTGCTGGGGATGGATTGGGCTCTGCTGCCCAGGCCCGTGGCAGAAGCTCCTGCCACTCCCAGGCCTCAGCTGGCTCTTTCTTTGCAGCCACATAAGGAATTCTTGCAATAGCAGCACTGTCATGGGTACAGGCGTGTTTCTCCCAGTTCCCTGCACCTCCTTCCGGGGAGAAAACCAGTGCTCCCAGTATGGCACCCAGGGCTTGCCTGGCCCCGAGGCCAGGGGAGTCCTCTTAGATCTCTTGGGGGAGCAGTGGTGAGTCCTGAAGGCCTGGATGAGCTTCTCACTTGATTTGTTGGGCTCCAGGTGCTCCCTAGTTCAGGACTAGGAAGCATGAAATAACAGGAACATGCCACTTTTAGCCGTGGTGCCTGGAAGAGTCATCTGAAAGTGTCACCCCCTGCTCTGGGAAAGCCTGACAGTTTCATCTGTATCTAGAGAGAAGCAGCAGAAGAGGAGGTGTGAGGGCTCTTCTGCAGCAGGGGAGAGGCACTTCCTCAAAATTAAGGGTGGTTTTCGGGTGGGTTGAACACTGCCTGCAGGAAGTCAGGGCTAAGTGATGCAGTTCAGAACGTCAAGAAGTGGAGGCCCACTGTACTGGTGTGTCTCCATTGCCCGGGAGAAGGAAGGAGGAGGTCCTCCACCTCAACAGCTGGTAGCTCCTTTAATAGAGAAAAGATGGGTGTCAGGCAGTCTCCTTTCTGGTTCTGTTTAAGGTATTGTTGCGTTCCTCTTCAGGCAGACCACTTCCCCTTTCGGCGGGGTGGGCGTTGGCTCTGGGCACCAAAGGGGTGTGGGCTTCTCCCGAGCTGGGTGTACCTCCATGGGAGCTCCTCTGTGCTCTCCTGGTCCTGGAACCTGCCACGGTGCCCCAGTGCCAGCAGCGGGGAGAGCTTGGACAGCCCCTCTGGGAACTGGACACAACCGGTGTTGGGCCCCACTCTAACACTGGCGCCTTTCATCACTCTGCTCCTCCCTCCTCCAGCACGGTGAGGAGCAGTGTGTCGGGGAAGGATGCTTTGTTATGTGCAGCTGGGGTATTTCGTGTTTGTCTGGCATGTGCCTATGGCTGGATCTTTGCAGAAGATCACAGTGCTGCCCTGGAATGGCTACACTCCTGTCTGGCTTTGTAATCTTGTTGGGAAGCAGGATTCTGGATTCCCCAAGGGGGCTCCGGTGGGGTGTCAGAGTCCCTAAAACGTCTGGGCTCCCGTGGGCTTTGGCTGGAGTTAAGGTGGATGTGGCTGTAAGCAGGGGCCTCGTGGCCAATCAGGTCATGCCCCCAGGGTCCCAAAAAGATTGCAGCAAGTCTCTAGTTGACTGTTTAGTCTGGGTCTGATCCAGAAGAGGAGTGCCACTGAAGGGATTTTCATCTTTGGCCTTGAGGTGCTTTGTTTTCAGCAACACTAAAGGGCAGTTCCTGTCCTCTGTATCTGCCCTGGCTGCATTCTGACTCAACACTGGAGCAAGCCACAGGGTGATGGCAGTGCTGTGTTGCCTTACTGAGCACAAGCAAGCGGCTCTGCCACACGGGTGATGAACTGAGCACAAAGCTGCATGGTCTGTGTTCCCCACCATCTCTGTTGCCAGCACAGCGCCATGGGGGCTGGCTTGTGGCCTCTTTGAAGGCTGACTAGGACATGGATTGCAGTGGCTGGAGGGTGGGATGGCCTCTGATCTATGCCAGTTCCTTTAAGCCTCAGTCACATTTCTGGCAAATGTCTGCAGGCTGTCAGCAGTTTCACCAGATCCCAATATGTATGACTAAACCAAGGCAGCTATTGCTGAGGAACAGCCTCCTCGACCTGTCTCAAGACTGGAGAAGGCTTTTGCTCCTTCTCTGGATTGTTAGTGAGTCCGTGGGAGGAAGGAAGCCTCAAGCACTGCAGGCTCTCTGCTGGGGCTGTGGGCAGTGCAGCGACAAGCCCTGGGGCTGGGCAGCACCTGTGACCAGCCCAGCCTGCCAGCACCCAATACAGCTTGGCACATCCCTGAACATGTTAATCCTTCTCACCTTGCCGGTGAGAGTGTTTGCCCCAAGCAACACTCATGTCCAGATCACACCAGTAAACTGACTCTCTGCTAAGTGGCAGCTGTCACCACGCTCTGGCGTGGAGGATAAACAGGGTTATGATGAATGGTCTGGCAGGATCCCGGCAGCTGCAGAGGCGGCCCTTGGTGTAAGTCATCTCCTTAGTGTTCATGGCTTAAACTGTCAGAGCAGTGCAGGCTGACAGTGAGAAGCCTGCAGGAAGGCTGCTGTGTGGGAAAAGCATGCGGGAAGTGTTGCAGAGCTAAGTGTGCTGCTTGCCTCTGGGAGAGTGGCTAAAGCATCCTAGGTTTGCTTTGGGCTCCTGTGTGCTGCAGCTGACCCGATGGTAGATCTGAGCTGCTAAACCTGCACAGGCTGAGTCCCCTCCTCTGCTCCCTCCAGGCTGAGGCAGAAGTGGCATCTTTGAATCGCCGTATCCAGCTGGTAGAGGAGGAGTTGGACCGAGCTCAGGAGCGCCTTGCCACAGCTCTGCAAAAGCTGGAAGAGGCAGAGAAAGCAGCAGATGAGAGTGAAAGGTGAGCAACGACTCCTGCTCGAACTCTGTCAAACACTGAGGGTCCAGTGCCATCAACTTTTTGGGCTTCCCAAAGTGGGGGAGGAGATCCCACATGAAGGCTGGATGTGGGAGTTGGTGCCTGTTTATGCAGAGCAGCTTAAACAATGCAGATGAACCTGAGGCTGCTGATGGCTTTGAGTGTCCTGGAACCCGAGGCTAGGGAGCAGAAGTGCCATGTGCCTACCATGTGCCTACCATGCATCCCACCTCCAAAGGAGGAGAAATACATGGGTTCAGGGACACCGTTGCCTTGTAAATCTGGCTGCCAGTGGGGCAGCCTCTCTTCCATCTGCGTCTGCCAGCACACTCCCTAACTGGCAGATGTTCTCTGACCTGGCATATTATTCAGAGGGGAGTGGTCCACTTCCAGCTGTCTGATGTGCTTCCTTATGCACACACCGTGAGCAGCCTGACCCAGCTGGTGGCCTGCCATAGAGACAGACTTGGCTCTTCCTGCATTCCAGATGGGGAAGTGCTTGGCTTGGCTGTGCCGAGTCCCTAAGACAGCTGGGCTTGTTCTCAGCAGCGTTGCACTTCCCTTGGCCTGGGAACCCGGTGATCTGCTGGAGGAATGTTCCAAGGAACAGTCAATTCCAAGCAATTGAGGCTGCTGTATTCACATCAGCCCAGTGGCTTCTGCCATTCTGTGCCACCTTCTGCACTCAGAGGAATCATGGCTTATCAGGAAGCACTGTGCTACCAGGGCAGTGCTGTTAATGCTCTGAAACTCATTGCACTGCTGGCTGGTCCCAAGATTTTTTTAAACATCTTCCCTCCCTGTGCTTGCTTTTGGGCAGAGGCATGAAAGTCATTGAAAACAGAGCTCTGAAGGATGAAGAGAAGATGGAACTGCAGGAGATCCAGCTCAAGGAAGCCAAGCACATTGCAGAGGAGGCAGACAGGAAGTATGAGGAGGTGAGACCTTTGGGTGCTCTAGTACGACTGACCTGGGCCAGGAGAGATAAGTCCTCTTCCTGCTTGACAGCAAACCTAGAGCAGAGGCTGGCTCTCAGCAGAGCTACATCAGTGCTCTGCTTGGCCAAGTTTCCAGTGGCTCCTGCAGGCATTCCTTCCATTCACTGCTATGCAGAGCCTGCAGGCACAATACTACCCTCCTTCCTCTTGACTCTGATTCTCCTGTCCAGGTTGCTCGGAAACTGGTGATCATTGAAGGAGATCTGGAGCGTACTGAAGAGAGAGCTGAGCTCGCAGAGTCGTGAGTAGTCTGCTTGCATGCACCTGGCAGGTCTGCCTCTGCATGGGAACTAACACTGCATTGCTAACCTTGTTACACAAGGCCTGAAGCACAGGGTGGGTTTAGGTCTGCAAAGGAAAGGAATGAAAGCACTTTCCTCCTTGAGACAGGATTGACTCCACCTAGGACATGGAGTCTGTGATGCGATTTGCCTTGGGTGGAGACACTCTGCCCCTTTGCATGGAGGCACTCCCTGGTTATGGAGGCTGGAGAGCCTCCCTCTCCTCAGCATTCACCAGCACTGCTTTGTGCGTGCAGTCACAAGATTGTTCACGTTGCTATAGAGCACAGGGCTTGTCCTGAAGTGGCAGAGGCCTCCTGGGCCAGAGGCTGAAGTGGCATATGGGGTGGCTGAGGGCAGAGCTGTGGCTCAGGCTGGTCTCTGGGCCTCTCCAAGTATTTGCAGTAACCACTACAGGCTTCTTCACTGCTGAGCAGAAATCTGGGCTTCCTCTGCTCAGAGCAGAGACACAAATCCTGGTGTTTGGGCCCTTTCATGTGTCTGGATGCTTTAGCTGATCCTTGAGGAGCTGGTCAGGGCCTTTCCGTGCTCTGGGCCTTGTCTAACACAGTTGGTGTGTACGCAGCAGCAGCATCACTGTGCTTCCCGCCCAGACGTGCATGTTGTGACCATGACTTTTTTGTGTTTCCTCCCACCCCCTTTTTTGCTCTGTGGTGGTGTGGTTTTGGTGCTCCTTTTGACCTTGCCCCTACCTGGCTTGTGCCCTTGTGTGACCGTCACTAACAGTCATTGCCGGGAGCTGCAGGAGCAGATCAGAGTGATGGACCAGAACTTGAAGTGTCTGTCTGTTGCCGAAGAAAAGGTACTAACCTTTCCCTTCTTGAACCATTAAACCAGAACTCATGTGGTCTCCTCAGTACGCTCCTCCCCTCAGCTTAACTGCGTCTCTCTCTCCCTCTCTCTCTCCTGGAACATTCTGTCTTCTCTGCCCATAAATATCCCTTTCTGAGTGGTGGTGGCTGTCCTTCTGTCCATCAGAACAGCTTCCCTCCATACAGCACACTAAATGTGAAGCTTCTCCTTGGAGACTCAAAGTCTGGCAGAAACCTGTGTCCACATCTCGCTGCTCAGCTCTGTGCCCCGTGCATGTGCTGGCAGAATACTTCAAACATGAGCTCGGAGGCAAAAAGGAACTTGCTTTCTGCACAGGTGCCTCAAAGCAGGGTCCTATCCAGTCTGATCTCAGACAGTCTCCTAAAGAACTTCCTGGTCTTCCCTGCACGTGGATTCACTTCTTGTCTCCTGTCTTTCCCTCCCACTTCTTCTTTTCCTTTTTTTTCCCCCTTTTCCTTACAAAACCCCACAGTAAATGTTCCGAGCTGGAGGAGGAGCTGAAGAATGTCACCAACAATCTCAAGTCTCTTGAGGCTCAGGCTGAGAAGGTAGGGCTGCCTGTCCCAGGGCCAGAAACATTGCTGTTGTGCTAGGAGGGTGTGTAAACAGCAGAGCACCCACTGGGGTGGAAATGATTCAACTGCAGTCTTAAGCAAGCCAGGAGCGCTGTGCTTGCTCTGCTGGGAGGGCTAACATATTTCCTTGGAGGGCTGTGGGAGCTGGGATGTGGGTAGGAAGCCTGGCTGCCCTTCCCTGCCTTGGGGCAGACTCAATCAGCCAGGATGTGTAAGCTGCTAAAATGTTAAGATGTGAAGTTTTCTGCATCCAAGTTTGTGTTCCATGCATGATGTGAGATTTGCTGCCTGACCCAGTCCTGTTGGACTTGGGTAAGGATGTGAACAGCTCCCAGTTGGAAGGTCCTGTTGGCATGTGTGCTGCAGTGAGGAGTTTATGTCACCTTCTGTAGTTGTGGGCTCTATGGAGAGGGAGGTATCTGGGGCTGCTGACTGCTGACTCCTTTTCCACAGTACTCTCAAAAAGAGGATAAATATGAAGAAGAGATCAAGATTCTGACTGATAAACTCAAAGAGGTGAGTGACCATGTCAGGATGGCCCAGCTGGGTGAGCTGGCCTCAGCTTGACTGGGAAGAGATGTGAAGGGTGGGAGACTCCATGTCCTCACACTGATGCCTTTTGTTGTAGAGCTATTACACTAACGGCTTATTTCTATCTGGCAGGCAGAGACCCGTGCTGAATTTGCTGAACGCTCTGTAGCCAAGCTGGAGAAGACCATTGATGATCTGGAAGGTACATTTTGGGGATAGGAAACCAAGAAATGTGTGTTGAGTGAGAAGCTGAGGGCTATCTCTCAGGTAGCTGGAGAATGGAGAGGCTACTGTGCTTCTCGTTACTTGGAGCATAACCCGACTTGGCCTCCAAGGTGAGGCTTGGCAAGAGTCCTGCTCTGTGCCTCTGCTCTGAAAACAGTTCCTTGGCTGTGCTGCAGCAGGTCTCAAGCTCTAGATCCAGACATCTGGCCTTATCTATATAGTTGGTGTATTTTGGTAGTGATGTCCTCAGGAATGTAACTAGATCCCCGTGCTCCAGCTTAATCCAATTAATTTAGGAGTGGCATGGGAAAGAAACACCTGAACTTGTAAGAATTGGTCCCAATAACATCCTAGCGTGCAGACCATCACATATGTGCTGGCTACTGCAAACGGTGTCTTGCAACTACAGGAGTCAGTGAGTCTTGAAACAGCCCCCATGAAGATTCAGACTCCCTAATGTGAGTCCTGAATCCAGGTTAAATCACCAGCAGTTCAGTCCACGGATAGTCAGCCTGTGCCAAGGGTGGGTTCCTTTCCTCCTTCTATTCCTTCACGCAGTTCTTCAGGAGCACTCCTGAGGCAGCCATCGCAGAACCTTGCCCCAAGCCACAGAAGGAGAAGGTTTCAGCTGCCTCCCTTAAATCTGGGACTGTGGCCAAATTCTTCTATGGATTGCTGTGGCTGGAGTGGTGGTGCTGGTAAACCAAGACCCTTACAGGTCTCGTACCTTGGCCGCAGGTGTGCCTCTGTGGTCTTTTAGTGCCAGATCTTAGAGATACAAAGCACCATCTTACTGTCTGGAGTCACTCTGGAGGCTTATTATCTAGAAATAGCAATGGTGTCAGCTGAGCTGTTCCAGAACTGCAGCCAAGCAGCAATCTGAGCCACCTCATGATCCAGGACAAGCTTTTATTTGGAACTGTAAAAAGTCCTCCAAATCCCTGCATTCTGCCCTTGAAACCTGTTGATTGAGAGTTGGCTCTGGTCTACAGCCTTGCTGCTGAAGTGACCTAGTTTAGGACAACTGACAAAGTTCCCCAGGCTCTGCAAGGCTGTTAACAGCATGCCCAGCTGTACTATAGCCCAGGCAGCCAGAGCTGGAGGAGCCTGTGCCAGCTCTGCAGGGCTCAGGGATGCGTCAGCAGAGTTCCAGGCCCGCCCCTCCCTGGAGGCGGAGAGCTGCCTGTCTGCTCCATTATCTGATAGAGAACTCTGGTGTGGCCAGTCTGCTCCCCCACCTCACTGCTACCTGCAGGATTGGAATTTCCTCTGATGCCCAGCTCTATTACATGACTGACTTCTCCCAAAACAGTCTTTGCATTGAGACACAGGTGAGAACAAAGCACCTCAATTATCAGTGCTCTCCTTAGGTATAACAAGCTTCTCCCTAAGTGGATGGAGTTGCCTTTCCTGCTGCTCCTCCTGACACTGGTTCCTGCTGACCTAGCTGGACAGCTTGTTTTTACAAGGTGATGTAGTTTGAGTGCTTGGCTCTGCTGCCCTTGGAGCTGGGTTGCAATCCTGGAAGGCATTTGCGGGTCAGTCGGTCCTCAAGCTGCTGGAACCCTCCTGTTCATTGTTGGGGATGAACACAGAATCGTGATGGCTCCACATCTAACTTCATTTTCTTCTATTTGTGAATCCCATCCTGCTTTTCCTGCCCCAGAGTGTTGGAAGAACTCCTTTGCCTTCCCTCATTGTTTTCCTTTTGTTCTCCTCCTAAACTCTTCTAGATGAGCTCTATGCCCAGAAACTGAAGTACAAAGCAATTAGTGAGGAACTGGACCACGCCCTGAATGACATGACTTCCATGTAAATATGAGCTGGCTGGCGTTCGCCTCTCGCTTCAGCAGGCTGGACTGCCAGTGCTTGCTTGGTTTGCTGTGGTTTCCGTAGTTGGAGAATCGGCGGCACTGTGCCGTCCAGGTTACTTCTACAGATCTGCCCAAGGTGCCCCAGCATGCCGTCCTCTAACTCTAGGTCCTTGTGATCTGCATGTGTAACCAAGTGCTGTGCTGGCCTGAAAGGGTTCTGACTTAAATTCGAGTGCAATTCCCATTCCCACTGGGAAAGGCTTTCTCAGGAAATGTGGCTTTGTCATCTGCTGGAGCCACTGGGCCATGGTCTCAGGATTCCTTCTGGAAGAGGCTGTGGATGGTGCTCAGGTGGATTCCTTTGGAATTGCCACAATAGGCTTGAGATGGGCCGGATCATGAACTGATCTGTGGAAGTAGCTGAACTTGTGTGTTTCTGCAACTTGGCTCCTCAGCTTTGTGTTCAGATCTGCAGTGGGTGCTGCTAACAACTGCTCCGTCTGGTCCTTGCACTAACCCAGGAGAGGCCAGGTCCTCACCTCATAGAGAAGAGTCTTAACATGAGTGTTCCCGAGTTCCCTAAGCAGAGTTTGCTGTGCACAAACACTGAAGCTTCTCTTAAAATTAGTGTCTCCTTCTGTCTCACACAGATAAGTCTTGTGATTCCAAACTCCACTTTGGATTTGTCTCTCTGCTTGGTGGCTTGTTCTGCATCTGCACCCGGCATTCACGCTCTCTTCATCTCACTCTGAATTCCAGTGCCTTTTCCCAGTTACTGTGCACAGGGCATCCCTGGGAATGGGTACTGTAAAGATATGGAAGCAGCAGCAGCCCCCCAGTTCTGCTGCACTTGCTTCCAAACAAAGCTCCCTCTGTGTGACCTGATGTGCCAGACACAGCCTGCTCTGAGGGGCTGCCCTTTCCATGTCGGGGGAGCTGGGAGGATGTTGTTCTCATCTGCATATCTTGCGTGGAGCCATAAAGCTCTTTTTGTATTTCTCTTGCCTCTTGCTCGAGCATGATGTCACCTTTTTTAAGGAAAACAGTTTCTGTATAAATGGCTGTTGCTTTTGAGAAATGGGTTTTTAGTGACCACTTGCTGCTTTAGAGTAACTGTTTCAGCATTATCTTCAAACCTGTGTTACCCTCGGTGGAGCACAGACCTCACTAGCATGCTGGATTTTTCTTGGAGGTGTGTTACTGGCTCCAAGATGTGATGGCAGCTCTGCAGACAGGGCCTGGGGGGTCAAATGGGAGGCTGAGGGTTGCAGCAGGAGGCCCTGGAGCTCTGCCTGACTGAAGACACTCCTCATTCCTGCCTGCTTTGGACTGTTCACCAGCACCGGTTGCCAAATGCTGGCTTGCAGTGGGAGGTCACACACCTGATAGTCATTAGCCAGAGTATGGAAGCCAATAAATACTGTGTGAGCTCTGGCTGGTCTCCACTGGGACAGAACTGGTTGAGTGTGCGGTGCTGCCTGTGCCAGGGGGAGGGTTGTGTGGCCTCTTGCTTCAGGAATGAGAAGGCATTGCAGCAGGGCTGTGAGCATCTGAGCCAGGGAATCTTTTGCAAAGCCCTCCCCTCCTCGTGCAGGGGCTGAGGGCTGCAGGATCCTTCTTAGGAGTGTGGCATGGAGCTTCCCACTGAGCACTGCCACTGGCAGTGGGCTGTGAATGCCTGGCGTGTGTCACCACTGGCACTGTTGCTGTTTGATCTGGTATGATAAACACTGGTCAGCCTCTCAAAATGGTATGTGCTGCCTAATGGTGGTCGGTCAAATACTTTTTCCTTTCTGGATTGGTTCATCTGCCACAGTGCCCGAAGAGCCCTTCGTGAGCAGAGTTCTGATGACATGGGACACTTCCCGTGGCTTTCTCAGGTTTGTGCCCTTCTGGTCTCCACATGACAGCACTGGCAGTCAGGACAATCTAGGCATACTCACCTGTCCCACTCTGTCTTTGGTGGCAGGTCTGGGTGGGGAAGGGAGGGAGCATTCAAGGAATTTCAGAGTGTTGTCTGACTCTCCTGGAATGTGGGGCAGTAGCTGTGTCTTGTAAGCACAAAGCAAGAACCCAGAACTCTTCAGTAACCCAACTGCAGCTGGAGTTGAGGATCTGGATCCTGGGGAGGGGCAGGGCTTTTGTAAATGTGAAGGCTTCCAGTCCAGTGTTCCATTGTCAGCTCTTAAGACAACAGGGAGGCCATCATTGTCTGTCAGTATCTGAAGGGAGGGTGTCCGAGGATGGACCAGGTTCTGCTCAGTGGTGCCCAGCAGTAGGACAGGCAACACATACAAACTGATGCCCAGGAAGTTTCACCTGAACATGAGGAAGAATGTCTTTCCTGTGTTGGTAACTGAGCACTGGGCAGATTGCCCAGAGATTGTGTGAAATCTCCCTCACTCGAGATATTCCAGGATGATGGGGACACAATCCTGTACGATGTGCTCTGGGATCACTCTGCTTGAGCAGGGAGGTTTGACCAGATAACCCACACTGGGCCCTTTCAATCTCACCCCTCCTGTGATTGTTAGTGGGTGGGAGGTGGCAGCCTGCCCTCAGGGAGTGCCTCTCCTCACAGGGAGGTCTGGTTGCATCCTGATTCTTGCTGTGGGGAGCTGGTGGCTCTGCTCTGCACAGTGGTGTTCCCAGGAATGTTATCTAAGGCTGGGCTGTGGCAGGCCCTTTCCCCACTCATCTGGAATGAATCCACTCTGGGTGATGGATGGGTATGTGGGTGGGTGATGCAATGGTTACCCTGGGAGGTTTTGGAGACATCTGGTCTGACTGGATTGCTGGGCTTGTGCAGGCTGGTTACTGTGAGCTGTGCTGTGATGTGGGAGTGCTGCAAACATAGGTTAACTGTCCAGGAGGGCCAGGTCCTGGGGCTCCCCACGTCATGGGACTCCCTGAGTTGCAGGGATAGCTGGTGAGGCTGCCCTGTGATTGGGCAGAGAAGGGAGCAGGCCAAACATGGCGTAGCTGCTGCACACCTGGGCAGGTGTTCTATGTGGAGAAGCTGTTCTGAAGTCTGGGAAGTTTAGTCATGCTAAACACTCCAGTCTGCTGCCTTGTGTGGGTGAATCATCAGGTCCCTGTACACAAGCAGGAATGTTTGCTTGAAAGCTGTGAGGTGTTGTACCAAGTCCTCCTGAGCACAGTTCACTCTCATCCTCTGCCACTCGGGAGACCCAGAACCAGCCTGGATCTCTTGGTTCTGGGGACTGGCATTGGGGCTGCTCAGAGCCAGCATGAAGGCAGAGTCCCTCACAAACAATAGTAGCTGTTGTGCAAGGCATGGGCCAGGATGCCTTGTACCCACAACTTCCCTCAACTTGCAGATTGTGGTAGGACAAAAATCATTGGCTTCTCTGCCTGTGCCTTGGTCCCTTAGTGGCTTTAAAGAAGGGACAATCAATCAGTATTACTGCCCTCTCCTGCAGAGTGAGGTGCAGTTAGAGCTGCTCCTGAGGACTGAGGGAAGCTGAGGCTGAAGCTGAAGTTGTGCAGGTGTTACACTGGAGGGACTGAGCTGACACTCTGGGGAGGGTGACATGCTTTGGCTGCTCCATGTAAACCACTCTGGAATTTTACCCAGTTAGGTCTTGTTCAAGAGCAAAATATTCCAAGATTGAAAGCAATGAGGAATGGTGTAGCTCCCCTTCAGAGGGTGCCTGAGTGTCCTAGGACCTCATAGTACAGGGATTAGAGGGGAAGCCCAAGGCAAAGGCTGTGCTCCAGGCTCACTCCTCCAGCAGAGGCATCACACTGTGTGGCACTGCAGGTGGTGCTGGTCGGTTCTGCCAGGCTGTAAGATGGTGTGTAAGGTTTTTTCACTGCCTGGAATTCCCCTAAGTGCAGAAATTGGAGCTGCCAGGCTGCCATGCAAATGAGCAGGGAGAGATGCTGAATGTGTTCTCTGTAGTGGCTAGTTGTGGCTGACAGGCTGTGTGGCCAGACGTTGGCCACCCAGCCCTAAGAAGTGACAGATCCTGGAAAGGGACCAAACATGCTCATGAGCATGAGTGCTTGACATGAGCCTTGAGGATGCATGTGGCTACTAGACCTCTGTGGGGCTATAAGGACAGGGACTGGAGAGGCCACGGCTGCAGAGGCAGTGGCAGCTTGTGCCCTGCTCATGGAGTTGTTCTTGGCAGATGTAAAAGAGGACCCTATGCTCCAAAAGTCCCTCTGTCCTGTACCTGACACAGTTGCTGCCTCTGGTCCTATCTGGGTTGTTAGTGTGGCACCAGGCATGTTCTCAGAGGAGGGTCCTCCAGGCCAAGGATGAGATGTTGTCATTCTCAGTTCTTCTGGTGTGCATGTCCTGCTGTTCAAGTCCTGTCAATCCCATTGCAGTGTGGTGTGGCTCCCTCTGGAAGCTATTTCTGGTACAGCCTTGGCAGGACTCATTTCTGCAATGTGCTCCACAGGCTTAAAGCACATCCCAGATCTCTGTCCTTGCTGGGGTCCCGCCCAGCCTTGCCTGCAGGCGCCTCTTCTGGTGTCACTTCTTCCTTTCTTTGCCTTTGCACATCTTTGGCAACACTTTCACTTCTGCCCACACTTGATTTCCTCTGTGATCTTTCTGAGCTGAAGCACAAGTTAAAGACAGACCTTTGGGAATAGCCCAGGCTGTCCTCAGAAGTACACGTTATGGAGACAGCTTTTTTGATGTGCTCATCTTGGTGCTCTACTAACCTTCCCTTTCTCTCTTTTTCTCTCTTCCTCTTGTTTCCCTTATCCTGTCGCTGCTGCAGAGCGCCTGTACAGCCAGCTTGAGAAAAACCGCCTGCTCTCTAATGAGCTGAAGTTAACGCTGCATGATCTGTGTGACTGAGAAGGGGCCCACTAATCCCATTAAACAAGCTTATTTCGACCACCAGTGCTGTGGACCACAGTGAAATCTGATCATTAAGACTGGCAGACTTGCGAATTTTATGCAATTGCTGCTTTTTAATGAGGCACTTGGATTTGTCCTGTAATTTATTTAAGCTTTTTTTTTTAATATATAAAGGTAACCTCTCTTCTTAGTGAAGTCACCCCCAGACTTGGCTGGTTTCTGAGCAGTCTTGTTTACTTGTCTAGGGGGTCCTGCCTGGCTCCTCCATGGAACCAGAATAGCTGCATCCCCCAAATGAGGGGTGTGGTGAAGTTAGACTTATGTCTGCTTGAAGCTGCCTGTCAAGTGCTACAACTTAATTTACTATTAGCTGAATGACTGTAGGATTTCCTGGTGCATGGAATGATGCCTTTTACCAATAAATGACTGACCTTGTGGTCTGTGAGACACTGCACACCTGTAGTACATTCCTATCTAGGGGAGTCCTAACTGAGGTTTGGGGGCAGCAGTAACTTCCCAGGCCTGACCCCAGTGCAGCTACAGAGCCCTGAAATGGGTTGGGAAAGCTCACAGACATCTTGACAGCAAGTGCCAAAATGCACAGCCTGAAAGCTGTGTCCTGGGTGCCTGCAGGGAGTATTTAAACGCTGCCATTGCTCATACTTGAGGAAAGATGTTCTCTTTCTGTGCAGTTTCTGGCCCTGGGGAGGTTGGGAGTGGCTTTGGGAATCTGCCTGTACCTAAAGGACATTTTTCTACAGCCTGTGTGTCCAGCGTCCCACCGTGTGGATGTCTCCAGTGATATGGGTGGGCTCACCTTTGGAGTAAAGCCTACTTAGAGCACTAGCTGCTGATCTGCTCTCCTCCTGGCTTAAGGAACATGTGAGAATTGACTGCACAGCTGCCTGCAGTGTCGGGCAGGGTGCAGCTCCCTCACTCCTCACTCTGTGCCTGTCACTGCCCAGCTCCTGCCCCGCTGCCCTCCAGGCTGGCAGTCTGCTCCCTGCTGCTGGGCTTGGCATCCCTGCCCTGTGCTGGGGGAAGAGGGGCACAACCAGCTGTAAATCCATGGCGTGGTTTTCACGTGTGTGCTGCTCTTGGGTGCCTTGCTGGGCCACGTGTGTCAGCTGTGGAGGTGTGGAAGCCCTGGGAAGAGCTGGCTGCAGTCAGAGATGCCTGCATGTGAAACACTGCCTAGAGCTTTGGCCAAAGGTGCACCATGGCCATTCTGACTGGGAGCACCAGCAGTGTGAGAGGCAAGGGCTATACACAAGCCAGGAAACCTCAGAGCTTCCAGCTGCACCCAGCCAGGCACTGCAGTCCAAGGATCGCTGTGGCAGTGTGTGGGGAAGGGGCTGGCACAAGCTTTCTTTGGCAAAGGACTCTGGATTGCTTGATGCTGATTTGTAACTCTTGACTCTTGCTTCCTGCCAGATAAACTGAAATCCACCAAAGAGGAGCATCTCTGCACGCAAAGAATGCTGGACCAGACCCTGCTAGACCTGAACGAGATGTAATGGATCCCTGCCACTGCCTCCACCACGGGATGCCAGCCCAGCTGCTGCTGCCCTCTAACCCTGGCACCAGAGTTTACTTTCTGTTGCCAACTTGACCAAACACAAATCTCCTTTGTTCCAGGGTTAAAGGCCACCAGGTTGGGCAGAGCTTCAAACAGCATCATTAAGGGAAAAAACCAATGCAATAATGTTTGGAGAGCATGTTTGAGATGTACACATTTTGTAACTACCTTTTTTGTAGCAACCATTGTAAACATTCCAAATAACTTGTGAGGCTGGTGAGCTACACTTCAAAGCTCTTGGCTTTAAAATTTGGTATTAACCTTCTGTTAATCGGCTCTGGGCCACCCTGCTTTGGCAGGGCAGGAAATGGATATGATGATTCTGGCTGCAAGTCAGAGTAGCCAGGCTAGGGATGAAAGCCTGTTGGGAAAACTTCCTTCCCAGGAGCTGTTTGCCAAAAGCACAGTTCAGTTTTTCAGCTTTAAGGTAACTCTGTGTTAGGAAGGAACAACTTGGGTGAAAGGCATCTTTATTTTGGGTTTGGTTCGTTGTTTTTTTTTAAGCCAAACCATCTGAACAATTGAACCAGTTGAACCTTCACAGGGATTGTGTCCCTTCCCCTTTACACCTGAAGGGCTTAGAGAAGCCACTGTCCCTGTAACCCATTGCTACCCTGGGGCTGACTTTGCCTTCACTAAGTGCTGATGCACCAAGCTTCACTGCTCATCACTGGGTTACACTTAACAGCTTAAGTACAACAGCCTTGTGTTCTTGGAAAAGTGTTTTTGCCTACCTGGAGGGAGGGAGCCAAGCCTTCCCTCCTGCCCAGGACTGCTCTTACTGTCTTAATTGAGTCCAAGCCATCTTGCTGTGCATTGCTGATGTGTCGTGGTTGTGAGGTGTGAGTGTGGCAATGTCATGCTCACAGCGTGCAGCTTGTGGTTTGAGCATGCTGCTTGGTTGTAGCAGTTTTTGGGGCCAATCTGGAGACAAAAACCCTATCCAGTGTTTTGATACTAAATTGAAAAATTGTGTTACTGTCTTTTGAAATAAAAACTGATCCCTCCACACGGCTGCTGGCTGCAGAGCTTTACTATGCGGGCTTGTGGGGGATGAGGGTGGGGATGAAGACTGGTGTACGTGCCCATGCCTTGGTGGTGAGACCAGGCATAGGGTAAGTAGCACTTCCCAGGGCAGGAGTGCAAAATCAGGGCTGTGGTGAGGAGTTCCTCAGTCAGTTTGGAGATGACACTGAGTTGGGTGGGAGTGTTAATCTGTTGGAGGGCAGGAAGGCTCTGCAGAGAGATCTGTACAGGCTGGGTTTGTGGGGGAGGCAGTGGTGTGAGGGTCAACAAGGGCAAGTGCCAGGTTCCGTCTTTGGGTCACCATAACCTGATGCAGTGCTCCAGGCCTGGGGAAAAGTGTGGAGAGCTGGAAAACAACCTGGGAATGATGGCTGTCAGCGGCTGCACATAAGCTGGTGGGTGCCCAGGTGGGCAAGAGGCCAAGGGCACCTGACCTGTACTAGCCGTGGTGTGGTGGGACCAGGGCAGTGTCTGTTCCCTGTGCTGGGCACTGCTGAGGAACTACAAACCCTGGGGTCAGTTTTGGGCCCCTCATGACAAGAAATGTCCAGCCCTTGTGGGGCTGGAGCATGTCCAGGGAAGAAAATGGAGCTGGGGAAGAGGCTGGAGCACCAGGAGCAGCTGAGGGAGCTGGGAAAGGGGCTTACCCTGGAGAAAAAGAGGCTCAGGGGAGACCTTCTCACTCCCCACAACTCCCTAACAGGGAGGTTTGTATTGGATATTACACAAAATGTCTTCACAGGAAGGGGTCCAGCCCTGCCACAGGCTGCCCCATCCAACCTGGCCTTGAACACTTCCAGGGATGGGGTAGTCACAGCCGCTCTGGGCAGTCTGTGCCAGGGCCTCACCACTCTCACAAGGAAAAATTTCTTTTCAATATCCCTGTATTTGGTTTTGCACAGCCTGGTTTCTGGTAGCAGGAGGGCCACAAAGCTCCTATGAGGAGTTGCTGGAAGCTTCTACCATGTCCAGCAGAGCAAATCCCTGATGGCTCTGAACATGGACATGCTGCTGGCCTAAACTGGGCCAATGAGAGAGGCTGGTAATGCCTCTGTGATGAAATATTTAAGAATTAAAACAAAGTCACACAGTTTTCTTTTAGTCAGAGAAGAGAAGGTGAAAATATGTGAGGGAAAACATGGAGACACCAAGGTCAGTGGAGAAAGAGGGGGAGGAGGTGCTCCAGGTGTCAGAGCTGAGATTCATCTGCAGGCTGTGGTGAGACCATGGTGAAGCAGCTGTGCCCTTGCAGCTCGTGGGGATCCACAGGGGATGCAGAGATCCACCCACAGTCCATGGGGATCCATGGGGGATGCAGAGATCTACCCACAGCCCGTGGGGATCCACAGGGGATGCAGAGATCCACTCACAGCCTGTGGGGATCCACAGGGGATGCAGAGATCCACCCACAGTCCATGGGGATCCGTGGGGGATGCAGAGATCCACCCACAGCCCGTGGGGATCCACGGGGGATGCAGAGATCCACCCACAGTCCATGGGGATCCACAGGGGATGCAGAGATCCACCCACAGCCCATGGGATCCATGGGGGATGCAGAGATCCACCCACAGTCCATGGGGATCCACAGGGGATGCAGAGATCCACCCACAGCCTATGGGATCCATGGGGGATGCAGAGATGGGATGTTAGCCCATTTGTTCTTCCTAATTTCACTGTGTTGTAGAAGCTGGATTTTTAGGCAAAGAAAGCAAATTATAAGCTCAGGTATAAATCCCTTATGTTTCCTTTTTCTTCAGGAATATATTCTTTCTTTGTAATTGCATCCATCCCATCGGCTGTGGACAGCTCAGTCTTAAGGCAGAAGCAGCTTGCACGTTTGAAAACTGAAGTTGGCATTTCTCCACTTGATGGGCTTCTCTCGACATCACACTAGTTAACTCAACTGCAGACTAACAGAAGTGGGCCCTGGAGCTGGGAAAGCCTGGGAAAGTCAGGATTGCCTACATGGGACTTCTCTGCTGCTTGCAATGTCTTTTCATCGTGGAGTGTTTGGATTCAGGAATTAGTTGTCAAGTGATTTGGATACTTAGAGAATGAAGAATGAGGACACTCCTGCTTCAGTCCCTGATTCCTGCCCAGCAGAGTTTTACAGTCACCATTGCTGCCATAGCGCTGTGCCTGTCCTCTGTTCCTCACTGAAATCTGGGCTCTGGCAACAGGAGCTGTGTCTGTTACAGAAATCAGCATTGCTGCCACTCTCATTGCTCTGGGACAAAGCCTGATGCAACTTTCAGGTTTCCAAAGTCAATTTGGGAGTGCTTCTACTATTAACCCCCAGATTAATAATTTTTTTAAAATAAAGTTGCATTTCTTAATGAAAACCATGTTACCAAGTTATTGTTGATGGCTCTTGGGAGCAAACCTCATGTGTTATTTCAGGTTTCACCATCTGTGCAGGAGACAGGAGGACGCTGGAAGTGAAGCTGTGTGTGGTGGCTATGTAAGTTTATGACACCAAAGTGTATTTATCTGATGGGAATGTGTGTTTACTTAACAACGAGCAGCTGCCAAATGGAGTGCTATGGGTAATTGTGCTACAGATTTTAGCACTAATAAGGAAATGAGAGAGTGGGAAAGGACTTAACCCTCGCTGTGATGTTATCTCAGTCTCTCCCTCACACACAATTCTATTCCCATATATTCACCAAAATCCTCTGTGTGACAAATTACTACAGAAATGCAAAATTCTGGGAGTATTTTTGGAAAGTGCACTGGGTTTTCCTTGGAAGGGAACACATTGTCCACTGATTTCTGCCAATTCACAGAACCTGAGAATAACTCACCATTGTAAAACAGAACTGTTTTCTGTTCTGCAGGTAAAAGGCAAAGGTGGTAGTAATTTTCTTCAGGTTTTTTTTTTTCTCTGGTGCCTCAGGTCATATAATAACACTATTGTTCACATCTGTGTAAAAGAAACTGCTCTGTGCTTGGTTGGAAATATGGTTATGCCGTATTTCATAGAGTTCAAAGGCACACAGACTGCTTTGGGCTGAGAGGGACCTGAAAGATCAACCCATTCCACCCCTCTGCCATGGGCAGGGACATCTTCCAATAGACAAGGTTATTTCAAGTCCCTGGACATTTCCAGGAATGGGGTAGTAACAGCTTCTCTGGGCAACCTGTACCAGGACCTCACCGCCCTTACAGAGAAAAATTTCTTCCCAATATCCCATCTATCCCTGCCCTCTGGCATTTGGAAGCCATTCCTCCTTGCCCTGGCACTCTAGGCACTTGTCCAAAGTCCCTCTCCAGTTTTGTTGGAGCTCCTTTAAGCCCTGGAAGGGGCTCTAAGGTCTCCCCAGAGCCTTCTCTTCTCCAGGTGAACACCCCCAGCTCTCACAGCCTGGCTCCAAAGCAGAGGAGCTCCAGCCCTGTGGCCTCTGGACTCACTGCAGCAGCTTCTCCTGCTCCAGCTGCTCCTGGTGGGCCCTGTGGGAGAGCTGGGCTGGCTCAGGGACCCCACCACAGCCCCCCACACCTGGCACAGCACCTGGGCTGGCACTGGAGCCCCCGGAGCCACCAGCTGGAACTGGGAGCCCCCTGACCACTGCCTCAGCCATCCCTCGGTCCCGTGTGCCTCACCTGAGCAGCCTCTGGAATTCCTGGCGGTCCTGCTCCATCTGCATGGCCAGGTACTGCTCCTTCTGGGCCACCTGCTCCAGCCGGTCCTGCTTCAGCTTCTGCTCCATCTCAGCCTTCTTCTGTGCCTTCTCCAGCTCCCGCCGCCGCCATTCCCGGTCTGCAACCTCTTGGTTCCTCTTGGCCCTCAGAGCATCCTGCCCGAAGAGGGGACAGTGCTGGGCTTCCCTCTGGGGCAGCTCTGGAAGCCCTTGGCTGTGGCTTTGGCTCTGCTGGCACCACTCCGGGACATTCCCCGGCTCCAGGGGCAGGTCCTGCAGATCCCCCCACATCCAGGGCTCTGCCCCTTTGCTGGGCTGGGGACAGGGACGGTGGCAGGTGACACGTCACCTGTGCATAGGCCACTCACCCGCTCTGCCAGCCAGGCCTGGGTGAGCAGGAAGCCACGGCACTGGGCTGCAGCTGCCGTGGTGCACTTTTCCATTTTCAATTGACAGGCACTTACAAAGTGAGGGGAGAACCTCCTGTCGAAGTCGCGCTGAGCCAGGATTCCTCCCTGCCCGGGAGCACTAGTGAAGCCAACCTGGAAAAGGCAGGGAAGACACAGGCTGTGCCACCTTTCCTCCTGGCTCCAAAACCGGGCAGGGTGACAGCACAGGGACAGGCATCATCCCTGACCACGCAGCTCCAGGAGCATCTGCAGGGCTCCCATAAATCAGCCACTTACCACAACCTGTGCACCCTCCTGGGCCAGGTAAGTGATGGTGGCAGAGGTGAAGTTGAAGTAGCCAGCTTTGAGAGGCCGTAGAACCACGGTGTGGGACACGTTGCTCGCTCTGGGAGCCGGACGTTAAGGAAAATGGTTTTATTTCATCACAGGAAGAAAAGTGAGGAGATGAGAATGAGTGGACTGAAACAGGATAGAATCAGCTGCTCCTCCACATAACCAAACCCAATATATACAGTATCTCATTAATGTCAAAAGAGTTCAATACAACATCAACATCATCATCAATACTTCTTTTAGTGATGCTGCACTCAGCATGCCTATGTCTGCCTTTAAAATAAATAAAATAATTTTAAAAAACCAAATAAGCCCCGAACTCCCTTAACACTCTTCCCCACTTTCTCCCTTACTTTCATATTTTCCCTGCTCCTTTCCCAGACAAAGCTTCTCCAAGCTGCTGACTATGGAAAGCAACCCAGAAGTTCGTTACCTGTTGACCACAGGAGCCATGGAACCATAGACTGGGCTTGTCTCTCCCACTCCACCCTTCCACAGGATTTGCTGCAGCCAGGGCAGGCTGTTCTCAGTCTCCAAACAGTGACACAATCACCTGTCCTGGGCCTGAGAGACTCAGAGCTTTTTATAAGAGACTCGACTTTCTCTGCAAAGCACCTTCCTCATGCTGGCTATCAGAGGTAAAGGCACTCTACACCTTCCCTATATTTTCCTTCCTATCTGCCAGGTGCTGGCACCCTGGGAGCTGGAGGGGACCAGGTAACTGTGAGAGGGGAAGACAAAGACTTGTTGAAGGACAGAGTGATTTGAGGGAGAAAAATGTGTAGATGTGGAAGCTTTTCTGGGCACTGATACTGTAGAAGTGCAAATGGGGCTGGTTTTCTGTCCTCGGTCCCTGTAATTAACACTGAAGAACTGGATGGGCCAGAAATCAAAGGAGCTCTCAGACCTGGGAGGAATGGGATGGTGTTGGAACTCCTGGACTGACTTGTGCCCTGGAGCAGCGTGTGGTGCTCAGGGGGGCTTTGCCTATGAGCTCTTGGGTCAGTGCCCTGGGTCATGTACCTCATGGCAGATAAATTTAGAAGACTTACAGAATCTCCTGAGCTGGAAGGGACCCACAAGGAGCACGGAGATCAAATCCTGGCGCTGCACAGACACCCCAACCACCTCACCCTGTGCCTGGGAGCATTGTCTAAACCTTATCCTGCCAGCCTTGGAGCCGTGACCATTCACTGGGGAGCCTGCTCAGTGCCTGACCACCCTCGGGGAAGAGTCTTTTCCGGATACGAAGCCTAAACCTCCTGTTCTGGATTTGGTGATTTTTTTCCCCATCTACAACCTGGAGGAATGACAATACAGGGCAACGGCGTTGCCTCAGAAATAAAAGGGGCAATTAGGAAACAAAAAGATGTAGCTGGGTTGCCACATTCCATTGAAATGGCTCTGGCTTCGAGCGGGTTGTGAGTGATACCTCCAGAAAAAAAGGTGAAGGGGCTCCCTCAGAGGTTTGGCTGAGTTTTTGCGGAGTGGTTTCCAGGTTCATAAGGAGCCGTTTGCCTGCGGCCTGAAAGGAATGAAGGATTTGTCTTTACAAACAAACTGTGGGTCTGCTAGTAAATAAAACTAGCACTGAGAGATAAAAGAAACAATGTGAAGGATTCTGCTGATTGATGAATGGAATGAGAGAAATTTGTCTTTACAAACAAACTGTAGGTCTGCTGATAAATAAAATTGGATACTGAGAGATGAAAGAAACAACGGGAAGAACCATAAATTCCATAAGGAATTCCAGTGAGTGACACAAGGAAAAGAAAAAGCAGGGGATATACATTAGAAGGGGGTCATAGGTATCAGGTGATCCGGGAAGTTTGTACCTCTCAAGTACCTCAGCCAGTGGGGAAAGAGACAGGGAAATGCAGCTGGGAAATTGGGATGAAAGGGAGGCTGCGTCCTCCAAAAATTTGAGACACCCCATAGAAAATGCTCACGATCTCTCCCTTCATTCGAATAAGGTTACAGGACTCCTCTGTCTCCATTTTGGACATAAACCTCTGGTGTTTGTGGATTAATTTTCCTGTCAGGCCTGACCGCTGGGAGCTCAGAAATGGCGCCGAAACACCGGGCCCGGGGCCGGCAGGCCCACAGCGTGTGGCCACGGCCACTCCTGTGTATTGGACTCCGAGATCCCGGCCTGCTGCGGTGGTGTTGCAATGCAAGGCTGCTTAATTCTTTGTTTCCCGCTGTTTGGCGAGTGTGTGGTGTGTGTGGTGTGTGTGGTGTGTGTGGTGTGTGTGGTGTGTGTGGTGTGTGTGGTGTGTGGTGTGTGGTGTGTGGTGTGTGGGGTGTGTGG